GCATAGTCCGAGCTTGCACAATTTTGCAGAGGGTATCCTCAAATGGAGCTGTTGTTTTCTGTTTTATCGTCCTCCACCCTAGGTGCGGAGCAGCTTCTTGAACAAGTTTCAAAGGGCACGTCAACCTCGACTGTTTGCTGGCAAATGCCCGAAGCACCAATGTCAAAAAACTGTTTCTGACATCCCCCATGTATAGCTCACTATAAAGTGGACATCCTTTGCGCTTATAAAGTGGGTTTCCGGTCGCCACTTTATATACCGACAATGGGGGATAAAGCCGTGTTTTGCGCGAGAAACATGCCCTTGGACCTGGAAGATGACTTTATAGCAACGTTGGCTTTCCAGTTTATACCCGGCTGGTTCCCCACAAGGAAACGACTCAATATATGCGGCAATGCATTTTATAGACCGTTGGTTCCCTTCAAAGAATGGCCATAATATGTCACACCATCCACTTTATAGAAACATGTCTCCCCAATGATTTCGGGCCAATATCTTTCTGTTGGGGCTGTATACATGGCAAAGCACTTTATAGAGTGAAACTTGCCCTTTAAGAAGAAGAATTTGTGCTGCATCCAGGGCACTTTATAGAAAGAAAATTGCGGCAGAGCATTTTATAGAGTCATGAGATACATCACCCAAATCACTTTATAGAGCTGCCCAGGACCCCATTCACCCTGAGGACCCCTTTCAAGGGAAATCTTCTTCTCTATAAAGTGGCCAGTCCAGGTAAAACCCCTGAAAAAACAGAATCTATGTTGGACTGGCCACTTTATACCCCCTCCCCAAACAGAGAATGCCTCTATAAAGTGGCCAGTCCAGGTAAAACCCCTGAAAAAACAGAATCTATGTTGGACTGGCCACTTTATACCCCCTCCCCCAACAGAGAATGCCTCTATAAAGTGGCCAGTCCAGGTAAAACCCCTGAAAAAACAGAATCTATGTTGGACTGGCCACTTTATACCCCCTCCCCCAACAGAGAATGCCTCTATAAAGTGGCCAGTCCAGGTAAAACCCCTGAAAAAACAGAATCTATGTTGGACTGGCCACTTTATACCCCCTCCCCCAACAGAGAATGCCTCTATAAAGTGGCCAGTCCAGGTAAAACCCCTGAAAAAACAGAATCTATGTTGGACTGGCCACTTTATACCCCCTCCCCCAACAGAGAATGCCTCTATAAAGTGGCCAGTCCAGGTAAAACCCCTGAAAAAACACATTTTTACCTGGAATGGCCACTTTATACCCCAGCCAGTGGGCTCCAGGACTTTGACCCGGAAACGGAAGGGCTGACAACAAGGTAAAGGGGGGAAGAGGTACTACAACGGAGAGGTACAACGGGAAGGCTACCACAAGAAAATGAGACATGTCACGTTTATATACGTTTATTGTTTTCAATGTGTCATATAGATTGGCGATGATTGGTATATTGAATATGTTGTAGATGTATTTGGAACATATGTATACCTATGATTCACACATCAATTTAAATATATATAAATCATAAACACATGCCAAGCCAAAAACTTTTAGCTGAGTATTGTATTCCCAATCTGTTGGCAAATGTCCAGCCGATTCACCATGCGTGACCCAACAAGATTCAAACTATGGATTGTTTACTTTTGAAAAAAAATACTGGGTGAATCTACGTATATCTATGACGACAATCTCCCAAAATCATCCTAAAAATCTATGGACATCTATGGACCAAAACCACGGCCACATGCCCATCCTCTATAAAATGGTTTGCAAGAAAGTTCAGCTCTATAAAGTGGTTTGATCACGTCATTTCTGGCAGCCCCACCCTCTGTATAAACTGGCCGGTCCATGCCCATCCTCTATAAAATTGTTTGCAAGAACCAGTATTTTTTTTCGAAATTAAACAATCCATAGTTTGAATCTTGTTGGGTCACGCATGGTGAATCGGCTGGACATTTGCCAACAGATTGGGAATACAATACTCAGCTAAAAGTTTTTGGTTTGGCATGTGTTTATGATTTATATATATTTATATATTTATATTGATGTGTGAATCATAGGTATACATATGTTCCAAAATACATCTACAACATATTCAATATACCAATCATCGCCAATCTATATGACACATTGAAAACAATAAACGTATATAAACGTGACATGTCTCATTTTCTTGTGGTAGCCTTCCCGTTGTACCTCTCCGTTGTAGTTTTCCCCCTTTACCTTGTTGTCAGCCCTTCCGTTTCCGGGTCAAAGTCCTGGAGCCCACTGGCTGGGGTATAAAGTGGCCATTCCAGGTAAAAATGTGTTTTTTCAGGGGTTTTACCTGGACTGGCCACTTTATAGAGGCATTCTCTGTTGGGGGAGGGGGTATAAAATGGCCATTCCAGGTAAAAATGTGTTTTTTCAGGGGTTTTACCTGGACTGGCCACTTTATAGAGGCATTCTCTGTTGGGGGAGGGGGTATAAAGTGGCCATTCCAAAAAATGTGTTTTTCAGGGGTTTTACCTGGACTGGCCACTTTATAGAGGCATTCTCTGTTGGGGGAGGGGGTATAAAGTGGCCAGTCCAACATAGATTCTGTTTTTTCAGGGGTTTTACCTGGACTGGCCACTTTATAGAGGCATTCTCTGTTGGGGGAGGGGGTATAAAGTGGCCAGTCCAACATAGATTCTGTTTTTTCAGGGGTTTTACTTGGACTGGCCACTTTATAGAGGCATTCTCTGTTGGGGGAGGGGGTATAAAGTGGCCAGTCCAACATAGATTCTGTTTTTTCAGGGGTTTTACCTGGACTGGCCACTTTATAGAGGCATTCTCTGTTGGGGGAGGGGGTATAAAGTGGCTAGTCCAACATAGATTCTGTTTTTTCAGGGGTTTTACCTGGACTGGCCACTTTATAGAGAAGAAGATTTCCCTTGAAAAATTCCTCAGGGTGAATGGGGTCCTGGGCGCGCCGCGCGCGCGCGCGCCAAAAAGGTGTCAAAATTGGAGCCATTTTGGACCCCTTTCACCCCAAGGACCCCTTTCAAAGGAAAGCGTGTTAGAGACATTCTCTGTTGGGGGAGGGTATAAAGTGGCCAGTCCAACATAGATTTGGTTTTACCATAGATTCTGTTAACGAGTTCGATATAGATATTTGTCTGGCTGTCGGTTTCGTTCGGTTTCGAAGTCATTCGAAGTCTTTTGGGTTCCCCATCGATGAGATCGATGATATTCCCCCAAGGTTTGAACGTGGCCCCTCAACTTTATAGACAATCATGTCGATGCTGCCATCGTCGCGATTAAGAAAATCATCGCTACTACAACGATCGTTGTTTAGCCGGAAATCCACATTATAGTGCCACTGTTCTGCACAAGTATTACTATCTGGATGTTCGGCATCTCACTTTATAGTCATGGGACATGTTCACAAGCACCCTCAAAAACCTGCATCGAGTTTTATGTTTTTACGCGGCCAGGCGACTTTATACAAACGTTGGATTTTGACTTTATAGACAAAACATGTTGGCTTTCCACTTTATAGACTCCAGACACGTGGCCATTCCAGTTTATACCAGGCTATTCTCTATAAAGTCGGCCGCAAAGCATCTAGCGGGCTATACATGGGGGATTTTCTGACAGATTTCCATAGAGTTCTGATATTTTCTGCGGCTTTTGATTGGCTTTGATTGGTTTTCCACGGTTAGTCTCAACACTTGCTGGTTCATCCCGGCCAGGAAGGTGAGCATTCTTGTCTCACGAGGAATGTTTGCCTGAGCTTACAGAGAGCCTTAGGGAGTATGCCGCAGTATGCCAGGGATGAACGAAGTTCTTCCTTGTGCATCTGAAATGTAGTACATGTGCCTCTTCTAAAAGGACTTGGCACTTAGCCTTCAATACTCTCCGAGTCTTTTTGCCTGCTTGGAAGATATTGCAATATTCAGAAAAGTCCGTCTGTTTTTTTTCGACACCTGATATAGAACATGTCTATATACGAGCCTGGGTTGGCAAGAGACGCAGGCTCTCCGCCGGACAGCCTCTTTTAGACCACAGAACTTCCGCAGGTATCGACTGTATCCGGGCATGTCACTCCTAGGGAATTGTATTTTCATTGAAACAAGAGTATGCAGCTAGCACAACTAGGATCAATTGACTTGGAATCCAAAGTCCAGACTGGCTGCAGTTGGTACCTGAACTGTTTCACCATTCACAGTTGAATGAATTATGTGATATTCTGAGCCTTCATGTGATTTGTCTATTGCTGTTTTCAACCAAAATAAAAACACGAGACTATCATTCAACCCATTCAACATCCTTCTGACGCAAGGCGAGAAGAGAATGACACGGTTGCAAAATGTTGCAAAGAACTCTTGCTGTGAATCAACACAGGTTCATGAAGAAATCCTAGGAATGCGCAGTCACAGGAAGCACAACTACAGTGCACTACTAAATAAAGTAGATAAAGTGTGTAGGCTCTTTCTGTTGGCAGACCTCTTGCGACTTTCAAAATCAAAATGCCTTGCTTACACGTCTTCACACGTCAGTTTTTCATCTGATTCCATCTGATCTGATCCTTTGACATGCTACGGTGAGTTGTCTTCCCGCAAATACTTCATCAAGGCTACATCAAGGTGAAAATTGAGATGAGGTACATTCTTCGGCGCCCGCAGAATCAGATACTGTAGCCTCTTTTGGCAGGGTTTTATATAGTCAGGGTTGTCAAGTACATCATTTATGTTTCGGCAAATCAAGAACTAAGGAATCCCAAAGGAGGTCACAATTCCTTCGGTTTTAGATATGCACAACATCATGGATTTGGACATTTTGAATGGGTTTTACAGGTGGGGGAAAGCAAAAAGAAGAACCAGCACTTTCTATTGTTTGTACTGACAAATGATGGAAGGTAAAAGGATGAATTAATGGATTCGGAGTTCAACACTTCCAAGAAACACTCGCATGATGTTAACACCGTGGAGAGGTGCCAATAGAAACAAACAACTTGCAAGATCAGTCAACACGCTTCAGGCTTTGACTCGCAGCGAGGTTTGCTGCACGGCTTACATGGCTTGCCATGGCGCCGCTGTTCAGTGTACCGCTTCTTCAGAAGAGCTTCGCAGGAAATGGATTCCATGGAGCTCGTCGATGGTACACCCCACGCTCCAGGACCGAGTTTCGTTTCTTCAGAATTAACAACATGTTTTTCATTGTTTTTCAGTTTTTTTTCACACTTCCAGCTTTTCAATTGCCAATTTGCAACCAGGCGGAACTGGTCGCTGCAGCACCATCGCATCCGGATTCCACGGCCGATGGTCGATAGGCAGCCCCGCTAGCTGTTGAAACTGATGCTGCTTGAATGATGTTTGACCGCTTTCAAACCTGCAGATAGACGTGTCAAGTCGACACCAGATGCCACGAACAAGAGTGGGAATACTACAGATTACTTCCACCAAAATCGCACTAGTCCATACCGCACTTATCAAATTGGTTGCAGTTGAGGTCTTGTCAGATTGGCTCTCCAGCCAGGAAGACTACCTAGTGCACAACAAGAAAATACGACAAAACCTATAACGCGGACAAGAAACACGTGAAACGGCATTTGCTTGAATTCACGGCAGCCAACACTTGAGCGCACCACTCACTGCCTGAAAGGGGATTGGATGGCTTATGATTCAAGAAGCAAGCAACAAAATCACGTATGATTACTTTGAAGATAAATAAAGTTTGCATTATGTCTTGTCCGGATCTATTTCAAGAACATCGGCCCCCATCCACCGCCTCCAAGATCGACGATATAAATCTGCCTGCGAAACAGGGTCTCGACTCTCACAGTGTTTCGCTGAGTGAGTGCCTTTCTCGCAAAACATGTTCTAGTTTCAATGGCTGTTGTTTTGAGACAACATCTTAACCCATGCCTTTGCGTGTTAGTTGCGCCTGGCCGCGTGTTCATTTTGACTTGGAGTATCGGCTCTCCAAACAAGAAGAATGAACGTATGGCTCCTGCATGTTTTGAGTTCACAGGCATTGAAGCGTCTTCTTTTGTTTTTGGGTAGCAACATGGCTTGAATTCAAAAGCGAGTGTTTCGGCTCTTGTTTCGGAGAATATCGTACCCCATTATGCAACTTGACCGTCTTGCAGTTCCCTTGCTAGTCTACGCTGATCAAAAGAAAGACAACTGAAAAAGCACACAACAACAAGCGAAGAAAGCCATTCTGTTGGTTGAGACACCACTGGCTGAGAGCAATGTCTTTTTACTGGGCTGTGCTTTGTTTCCTTCCAAGATCAGCTGTGATCCCGACAATTCTAAGCTGACCCGCGCAGGTTTGATTTGTCACGGGTTCAGCCGCAAAAGGCACAAAACTGTTGCTGACAGTCTTTGCCTTCTTCTCATACCACAGAAAGAAACTAAACAGCTTGACAACAATTCATGACCTGTGATACCTTTGTTTAGTGTTTCGTACACGTTGCACGCCTTTGTTCTACCTCTCTCTCTCTCTCTAACTCTAACAGTCACGAAATGTCCATGAGATCCGTGCAGCATCTGGAAGGAATGGTGGCGAGAGAGGCGAATTGCACCCGCCACATTTTTTGGCTTTCCCGACGTCACCAAGGCCACCCAATTCCATTGCGACATGTCTTAGAGTCTTAGAGCATGTTCTGCACACCTTCAGCATGTCTCCGTTCTAGGCAGGTCTTCGAGGAGGTAGCGTGTACGTTGAGCAAATGGATGCGGCTGCAGCCATAGATTGCCATGGTTAAAGATAGTAACGTCAAGAGCTGGACCGGGTCGTGGCAGTGACTGCAGTGACTGCAGTGACTGCAGTGACTGCAGTGACTGCAAGTAATGGGAAGGACGAGATGTTAAGGTGACCTTGGCTGTCCTCACTGACAAGTGTGTTCAGGCGGTGTTTCAATGGACGGTCTTCACAGTCTTCACAACTCAACATCTGTTTTGTCTTGCAGACTGCAACTAGCAACATGCATGCTGAGCATCGTTCTTGCAGAGGAGGATGTTTGGGATCCGGAAATATGGATGAAGCACCTAGCTCAGTCTGGCAACCGGCCGCCAGTCCTCGTGATGTTGTTTGAAAGGGTCAAGGATTCTTGGGATGAGCTGAGCCTACAGCCTTCCTCTTTCCGCTGTTGTCGTTGTCGTTTTGATTTTGGTTTCGGGTTTGGTAGTGGAAGTTGAAGTTGAAGTTGTTGTTGTTGTTGTTGTTGTTGTTGTTGTTGTTGTTGTTGTTGCCGCCGCCGCCGCTTTCCTGATTGCATTCCAGCTTCAGGTGTTGCCTTTCTGAGACAATGGCTACAATTCAATGAAGTCTCTGTAGGTTTGCCTGGCGGGCGCAGCAACTTTGTGCTCGCACTCACGAGGCCACATCCTGTGGAACATCATCCTTATGTATCAGTTGAGTCAGACGTAGTTTCTTCAAAAGCTTGAAGACTGCCTTCGTTTCTGGTCAGCGTTCGGATATTGGTCTTACTCCATTGAGTCCAGCACCCTGACCAGCCCGATTTGTGCTACATCTTCCGGGCCTTTGCGCGTGGACAGCTCAAAATCAGGGGCTCTGTAGTGCTGGTAGTTGAAAGGGCACCCAACGGAAACAAACGGAAAGGTTTGGCAAAATGATGCAGAGCCATGGTTCCTTTCCATCAACACTCCGTTTGGAATAACCTGCTGTGTCTTGCTGTCTCTCGCCACCAAGCTTATCCAAGCTTCAAGGTGCTGATTGGTTTGATCAGAACCTGCTTACAACATATCTTGGACGACTACATCGCAGGTCCAAGAGTTCGTAATTCTCCACAGATCAGTGATCAACATTTATTGCTTGGAGGCTGCCAATGTTTCAGCTTCCAGATGTGGCCGTCTTGCTCGAAGCTTTTGCAAATCCTCGCTTTAGGCCTGAATACAGACCGACTCCAAACTCCTTGGTCTTATAGACAGGATGAGACATGGATACCACGCAAAAACTGAAAACTTCTCTCTCTTTGGGCAGAAAGACTCTGCAATGCGGAGGCAAGGGGAGTACTTGCACCGAAGTCTGACACACATGGGTCTTCTATTGCAGTCTCAAGCTTACTGTAGAGATTGTACAAGCGCATTGACCGTACCTCAGCTCACTTCAACTTGAGCTTCCTATGCTCAGACTCCCTCAACTCCCTGTTGCTAATGTATTTCGAACCACTCTTGAATGGAACGTCTAAAGAAGCATGGAAGCTGCAAAGCTTATGGAAGCTTGTAGAAGCTCATCGAAGCCTACCAAAGCTTGTGGGGGCTTGTGCCAAATGGCAGCCAAGCCTAGGCATCGTGATGATGCAAGCGTAGAGGACTTGGCCAAGACATGTGCGAGTCTCATAAAGTCTCATCCAGTCTTAAATTGTCTTAAACGAAGGTGATCGATAGTGGTATACTGCAGCATACAGGCTTCCAGGCTCAGGCTTGAATGAGGAGAGAAACGACAAACATTGTGCGGTTTGAGAAGTTTGGAGGTCATTGTCCCAGTGTCCCAGGCATCGCATTGAGAGACCTTTATCCTCAACCGGAGGAGATTTCAACAGAAGCCCGGCTCCCAATCCAGGAAGAGGTAGAACTTGGTACAGCTGGGAAGAGGATGAAGAGGATGAAGAGGCAAATCTCCTGTATTTTCTGGTTTTAGAATGTTTTAGAATCAAATCTTGGGGATTTCCTTCGGCCTGGAGTTGTCAATAACTTCAAATCACCGGAACAGTCTGTGCCACTTACCAAGGTAAAAGCTGGTTTGCAGCTTTTGGGCGAGGCCCAGTTTTTTCTTGTTCTTGGTCAGACCATGAGACATTTCTATGAACTTCTTGAATTGTTTCTTTGCGTTTGTGATTTCTGTGTTGCTTGAGCTCTTGGGAGGCTCTGTTGCTGCGAGAGCTCTCTGAGCTGACACCTTCGCAGGCGATTCTCTAAAGCAAGAAACAACTTGATTCGATACTCGCACGTTCGCGTCATTTCGTGCCATTTTTCATTGTTGACATTTGCGTGCATTCAACATCCAACACAATACCTTGCAGATATTTGCAGATTTTGCAGTTCGCAAACCGCTCACCACAGAGTGTTTCCAGGCTGTGCATGTGCTGCATTGCATGACCCACTGGAGGCCAAGACCACAGCTTTAGCACAATGGAACAGAGGGCAAACATTCACTTCTACTATGGAGATGAGACCCTCGTTGTTCTTCAGATTTCCTCTGCATAGGTCCACACTTTGGATATGAGACACATGCACGCTCACACTGAGACTGGTGAACACAGAGCAGCAAACCTCCAACGCCCCAGCAGACTTGAGCTGGGCTCTTATTGGTTGCGAAGCAAGACTACACTGACGACACAATTGTGCCATGCTGTGCCATGCTGTGACTCTGCGTGTGGCCTTTTGTCCATCAGATGAGCTCAGGCTGGACCCTGGCTCGAGAGTTGAAGGGAAAGCTCCGGAATGCGGGCAAAGAAAAACCGGAGGCGAGCAGACTGGAACAGACTGGGACGATATGCAAAGACGTGAACTGATTCCCTTTCGAGAGAGAATCGAGCTTGGTCAACTCTTTCAACACAATGGCCAAGTGGTCATTCCTGATGAAGGATTTGGCCGTGCTGGCGGAAGCGATGTTTACCGGCGGCATTCGTCATGAGGAACTTTGGGAGGCGCGTCATGTGGCACCACTTGACACTACTTGGCACTGCGTGTCGCGCCATGTTTAGCAGATCCAAGCCTTTACTGTCGTTTATGTATTTTGTATGAATCATTTTACTACTATTGAATTACTCTATATGTATAATTGTATAATATTATATTGTTATTATTACCTTTATATACATCCGTCCCAACAGAAAGGTGACAGATCTGCATAAAGCTTAGGAGCTCGTCACAAATCTGGAGTTTGAGATGCACAAGCCCAAGACCGTATACAGTCGAACATCGACTGAATTTGTCATTTAAAGCTATTTGCCTTGTGTAGTGTAGTGCATTTCCTCTGTTTTCATATACGAGAAGCCAATGCATTGATTGTTGAAGTCATGCACGCTCCACAGAGCAGACATCTGCAGACCTTTCTTCGCATCCCTTTAGAACTTCACATCTGTCTCTCTCTCTCTCTCATCTTGTGCACTTGCAATCATTCATACCTTGTCGCATCTAGTTACGTCTCATGCTTCGTCAATTCGTTCTTTACGTGGTTCAATACTTCTGACTCTCTTCTGACCCTACCGTAGTAGTCATGAGTCATGAAGATTCATCAACTTTATCCGACTGTATCTTTCTGATCTGCCAAGGCACAGGCTCCCAGCTTCTTTTGCTGCAAGTGCAGCTTATGCTGCTTCCAGATTTGGCCACCGTGGGGCCAAGCTCTACTCGGCCCAGTCCCCAGGAACATCCAGGAACAAATCCGACCAATTGACCAAATGGTTTGAATATTTTTGAATCGGATAGCCGCTGTACTACTACGAAACATGCAGTGTAAATCAATGTAAATCGATATAAATCAATGTAAATCAATGTGTTATGTAAATCAGTGTAACGTGCTAACTGTAAGTATTGGGTGAGATGCCACCGATCCAAAGGCCTGTGGAGTAGTTTTGTATTCTGGGAAATTATATATTTGGCACAGTGAGTTGCCTGTCATTCCAAAGCTGATCATTGGACACCATTGGATACCTGGAACCATGTGTTGTCTGAGAACCATGGTGCAAATTTGCCCAGAACGCTGGTCGGCGACTGGGCGAAGAAGCCCCAAAGATGTCGCCAATGGACTGCGCATATGCAGCAGGTTCGCAGAGTTTGTTTTTCCTGTTCAACACTGTTGCGCTTCCCAATACCTGGGGGGTTTGCAGATGCGTTCACGGCGTCACCTCCTTCAAGTCCTGCGTCCACTGACTTTGCAGGTGCGTTCCTTCGTGGCCCAGCCTCCGTCGCAGAGAAAGCGAAGCTGGCATTGTTTGTGAACAGTGCTCATGCATTATCTATATATATATATATACACTCAATATACTCTATATATATATATACACATGTATACACTAAGGATATACTATCTTACTATCTGTGCTGTACTACTCCGTAAACATTGTTGGAACAGTGAGAACAGCAGGGCTTCTGAAATGACACGTCATGAGCAGTTTAGGGACTTCACAAAGTCTTTATTCATTCAGTCAAGAACACATTGCGTCATGTGGCTTTCGTGGAGGTCCTGAGGGGTGCAATCGGAGAAAGGATCTTGGAATTGGGCTTTGGCAGCTTCGATCCTGAGGCACTGAACCTGAACAGCTTTGAACCCGTGAGACAGAACCTTAAATGTTTTCTTCGCTTCGCAGGTTTCTGGATTTTACTCGATATTGTTCATCTTAAATAGGATCATTCCAGAGTGCCAAGGCTCAAAATGAAAAGATAAAGAAGGAACAAAGATGCAGAATGATGCAGACAAAAACGCAGAAAGCATCTTATTAATCAAGGTGCCGAAATCTTGAAATTGTTTTGGGTATACCTTTTGCGCTGAGGGAGATCAACTTTACTTTTTGGCCATTTGTGGTCGTCGTTGGTTTCGTTGTGTCGTGAGTGATACAAGTATGTTGCGGAAATTGGACCTCACACCATCGAAGGGTGGCATTTTTTCACATCATCTTTGTAGAAAGTGTATGCATGAGCAGGCATTCCTCTTCAGCATGGACTATATGCGCTGGATACATACCAACAGCCACTCATGAGACTATGTTTTATCCATCGCCAGTTTCCATCCTGCTAACCTTCCGTCAGCTCTTTGGTTGTCACACACGGTGCAGGCGTTGACCCTGATGCTGAACTCTTTAAGTGATTGCCCCGGACGGACTGTTTGCGGGGTGACTGTGACCCGAAAAGCTCATGCCTACGCCGTGACGACAGAAATGCCCAGATTGTCTGTAGCAGTAGCAGCTGGTATTGTTTTTGCCATGTTCTGTTGCAAGTCAGATCCACAACGGATTGCTAGTCATTTGAAGAGGAGTTCAGAGGCAAGGCAGTTTCAAGTAGAGTGTTAGCACTTAGAATGCATTGTCCACGACTGCTTGTTGTTGTTCATCCTGTTTGCCCTTTTCGATCCTTTTCGTTTTCTCAAGAGCAACTCACACGATTTGGCCAGCTGACACTTCGTGTCCAGTGAGGCCGTGCTGAACCTGGAGTGTGGGGAGTAGAAACAATGGCAAGTTCATTGCTGCAGGCAATCTGCTATGGAACATGATTGCCGGAGTTTCACACATGTGCAAAATGATTATTGTCGAATCTATTGCGACTTTTGCAGATTGATTTCCAAAGCGTCATGCAAGTAGCGTAGACTTAGAATTGAGCAAATTGAGCTGCAATTTCAAAGGACTTGCTATTGTCACCGTGCGTCAATGCTTTTCTCCAGACGCAACATCAAGAGTTTGAACAAAGCATGGGCTCTATCACAGAGGGGCCGTTGGGCACTGTTGGGCACTGTTGGGCACTGTTGGGCACTGTTGGGCACCGTTGGGCACCGTTGGGCACTGTTGGGCACTGTTGGGCACATTGTGACCTATAAAGCACTGTGAAACTCTTCAAGTCAGGAAATTCATTCTCGTCTTCATGAGCTCGATGCAGATCAGCTCACCTCAATTGTGAGGCCAGGGCGGCCAGTATGGTGTGAAATCCAGGGCATTTGGATTTGTCATGATTTGACCAGGTTCGACCACAAAGTACGGAAGTCTTGTGCCGTTCAAAGGCCATGCTTGAATTCAGATTTAGAACTTATTGCATACGGCAAGGAGCTTGGGCCACCTCCAGCCTGAGGTTCCGGAGGCTGACAAAAGGGTCTCTTTTTTCCTAAGACGAGATAGCAATGTGATGATAATGTGATGCATTGTGATGCAATGTCCTCAAACCTTACTTGACCTTAGCCTTACTTGCTCTCTGCCAAGGTGCTGAAACAAGTTCTGGATCATTGTCAGCTGAAAGTCGAGGACGCTGGAGTGCCTTTCTCAAGGGCGCTTTCAACATTCCAACATCTTCCAACCGAATCTTTTAAGATTTGTGTGTTTCGTGTGCTCAGTGTGCTCTCTCATTTTGTCTCTGAGGGTATCTCGCCCCGGTCTTTGGCCAGGCTTTGCCAGGCAACGTGTCCAAAGGTAGTAGGACCATTAGCACAGCTTGTCCAATAGAAATGGATGAAAGTCAAGGTCTTTAGTTTGAGATTTTGCACATGACAACATTTTCCGATATTTTTCCTGTTCGCAGGGTATTGCTATGCAGCCATCTACAACTCTGCCAGATGCAAGCGAGCGCTTGGTGTCTCTGATACCACAGGCCAAGCTGCACAGCACGCTTGAGCCATCTGGTTCTCCATCTTCAAAGTCTTTGATTTGCAAATGTATTGCACATGTCAAATCCCGTGGTTTCAAAAGTCATGCGCTGTCGCCTAGTTACTTGGGTGACTCAGTTGTTTTACATGTTGTGAGTGCAAGGTGCGCAGAGCGTTGGAGGCAAAGCCAACTGCAGTTTCCACGGTCTGAAGCTTGGCGGGTGCAGCCACTGTTCGGCTTGAGGCTCAAACTGTGCACAAACAAGTCAGATTCCATTGAGATGCTTCAATTGCTCTCGCTTCGCTTCAGGCTCAAATCTTTTGGAGCTACTCGCGGTGTTCTTTTGACGAGCGGGATGCAGTTCTAAAGGATGCCGACACGCGCCTCACGGAAAGGCGCTGGAGAAGTTTGGTCCAAATCCAGGTCACAATGATTGATGGGTTTTACAATTTTGGAAATATAAAAGTCAACGGTTTGAAATGCATCCTCGATGTCATTTGACAAGCGCTTGCCCAGCTGGATGCTTTATGTGATTTCATGTGCGAGGGCCATCGATTTGACGGCGGATTTGCTCCTAAACCTTGTTGAAGCTATGGAAGCGATTGGAAGGACTGACGATGAGTGATGACTGGAGATCTGGCTTCATGAAATCTGCTAGTTTCACCGGCCGGCATATAAGACTGGATCAGAATTTCTAGTCATACAGTATCTGCTTGTTCTTTAGACAAGAGCATTGACACTGAAGTGGCCTGCATGATTTTCGGAATTTCGGTACCATGCTTTTTTTGTCGCTTTATTTCCCTTGACCTCTCTCTCTCTCTTTGAATGCCTGCAATTGAAAGGACAGGATGGAGTCCATCAGAAGCTCTTGTGCAGAAGGCATGGAAATTCAGCTTAGGGGTCTCAGCCCCAAGAAAGGTTCGGTGCAGCTTCTGGTGCGGGCTTGGGGTTCTGGCTTGGTGCAGGTTCAGTTCACATTTCGGGTGGTTCAGGGTAGGTGATTCCGTGGCTTTGCAGCTTCAGGTGGGTTCCGGTGCAATTTGCGCATCGTCCCTGGTCGGTCTGGAGTCGGTGTGAGTCGGTGAGGTTTCTGGATGATTTTGGCTTACGAGGTTCTGGGGCTGGTTCCGGGTGGAGGTTTTGGCGCAGGTTCTGGAGTTGGTTTCGCTTCCAGTGTACAATTTATACAAGCACGAGACAACTTCGCTGGATACTGGACGATACTGGACTTGAATCTCCCTCCGTTTTCCAGGTATCCTACCTCCTGGACATGAAACGATACGACTTGCAACCAGGCCGGTCGAGAACTGAAGGCTGTGCTCAATGATCTTCAATGATTTTCAATGCAGCCGCTCTGAAGGCAGGTTGTGGCGTGCGACGAAAGCCTTTGAATCCCTGGGAGTGGGCGCCTTACAGTGCAACAGAGTATTCTTGGTGCACGATTTAATCAACCAAGTAGGCGTGCAGCCACATGTGGTCCCATTCATTGTTTTAGGAATCTGTGGACTCAGAACTCAGGTCGCACCGAAGCTTATTCCCCCGTTGGAGACACGCGATCAGCCAGCAGCGGCACAGACGAAGAGGCCAAGCTTGGCTGCAAAGGTCGAAAAAGAGTAGTTTCGTGCTTCCGTTCATGAAAGCTGGGCGCATCTGTGCGCATTTTTGCCTTAGCTTTGGTTGAGCCTTCTAGTTCCTCGAAGCAGGGAGCTTTCAACAACGATCTCTTCCGCTGATTGAGAGTTTCACAAGGACAAGAGTTCCCCAATAACAAGTTCCCACCTTGGCCGTTGCAAACTAAAAATAGCATAATATGCAATGTCGAAAATGCTAATGCGAAGCAGACGAACGGCTGTGTGTTTTTCTAGTTTCAATGCGCACGTGAGGGACAAGAGCGAATATCTTGGGCAGAAGAAACTATACAACTGCCACTGCAAGGGGAGGCATGAAACGTGCTTGGGAAAATAATGTGGCTAGGTACCTTGACTGACAGACCGTGCAACATACTGAACATACTGTACCAAAGCATAGCCTTGGTTCACCAAACAAAGTCACCAGTTGGCGCTTAGACTTTGGACCAACAAGCAATTGAAATCAGAGCGCAGCATAGATTCATTAGTTCACTTGCATGTCGTTGCATGGGCAACACACGGCTCTTAGGCGTGCAGCGCATCGAATGAATAAGCCAACCAACAAAGTTGTAAATCAATGACTAGCTTGGACGACTTCAAAGGCGAGAAAAGATTCATACTGTAAGATACCAGCCATGTTTTAAACGCAAGGATAAGAGATCATAGGAATCATAGGAGCTTATATAAACAAAGAAACAGAGCCTGGACACAAGCAGACACCGAGATGAAACACGAACGGCCTGATGGATTTGAACACCAAACCGCACAGACGGGAAGCGGATGATGTCATTTGAAAGCCAGTCATGCGTCCCTATACTTTCAAGATCTTTCAAGCCTCATTTTGAGCTTAATCAGACAAACACCTGTGTTCCATCAACCGATTGGCAGGAAAAGAACAAAAGGCGAATGATGGTACTGAGTGACCAAAAAGACTTTCTGTTGTCATCTGCAATCTAACTCACTGGATTCAGTTTGCAAGACAGACAGGAGGATTCTTGCATTTTTCCAGTGAACATCGCTTGCCACAGTTGGCTCAAAATTGTCAAACGCACTGGCATTTGCAAGATTGATTTACATGTGCACAGCTCGAAATGGTTTACTATTCATTTGCTCTACTTTGCCTTAGTCTTTCGATCTGTTGCAATGGTGTTAGGATGTTGAAGTTCAAACGTCAATAAGACCATAGACCCTGGGCCCTGGGTCTTGACAAAGGAAGCACGATGACCTAGACCTAAAGAATACCTCAAGAAGAAGCACGACAGCTGGTCTTGTTTGCAATCTGACCTGGTATGCAGCATGGAGATAGACCCTGCTGAGAATGTCACGCCGATCCCTGAGCCAAAGGAATCCGAAGGCATTGCAAGGCTCTCCTCACTATCTGGAGAAGTCACACTGCAACACTTGTCCTCTATGCCGGCGATCTAGTTGGCATGTCATGGCAAAAAATCGAAGCATAGATTGCTATTCATGTTGAATCATTAATTTGAACGCAGCTGGAGATTGGAAAGTCTTAGCAGAAGCACATCTTAGCACCATTTTGATCCATTAGCAGCGCCGCATTGATTTTTTCAAATCTACTTTTTGTTTCGATCTCGTTGTAGGTACATCCAACAGCCTCTTTCCTTGTCTAGATCACCTGAGGCGCTCGCAGAGTTCGCAACCAATGGCAGGTCCTTCCCAAGAGGCGAGTGGTGAGCGGAATCAAATTTGTTCGAATTTCGGGTTTTCACTGGTTGCATCTGGTTGCAAAGATTTGCAACGTGTGTTTCTCAAAGCCGAAAAAGAACGGATTCTGCTATTGCACAGAAATCTTTTCCGGGGGCCATAGCTTGCAGTTGTTGTTTGCTTGGTGGAGCAGCTGGGGCCGGGGGTGTTCGGGTGGAAGTGACACTGAGTGACACTGAGTGACACTGTTCGAGTGACACTGCTCTGTTATGGCTTTGTGCCCCTCTTGAGCTGGGCGGGATGTTGCAGCGTCCCAGTCATGCAGTGTAGGGACGCCCCCAATGTTTGCTGGATCCTAGGCATACTTTGGGTCATGTTCGGCTGAAAATGATCGTTTAATTCCCATCACATTGTTCGAGATGAGGCGCTTTTTTGTTTTGTTTGGATGGTAGTATTTTTGAGCTGACGCTCATCGTCGGCTCCGCCGGACTACTCGGCCTTCCATTTCATCGCAGTGTGGGCTTGAAAGCTATTGAGTGAGGACCTGCTTCAGAAATATATTCCTTAGGTTTTTTGGAACATATTTGTTGGAAATAGACGGTTTGTTTGGGAGCAAGTGAGTTCCCGAAAGCTCCTGCGAAAGGTTTTCCCTAAAGAACTGCTGCCAATTTCAACTTGTTACTTCGTGTACAGGCGCCTCTGTGCAAAGACTTCTCTGTGTAAAAGCTTTTGTGTGTAAAAGTTGTGTAAAAGTTCTCTGTGTAAAGACTTCTTTGTGTAAAAGCTTCTCTGTGTGAAAGCGCGTCTGTGTAAAGATTTCTCTGTGTGTAAAAGCTTCCGTGTGTAAATAAATACTCTCTGTGTAAAGGCTTCTGTGTAAAAGTTTCTGTGTGTAAACGCGTTTGTGTGTTAAAGCTGTAAAGACTTCTTTGTGTAACAGCTTTTGTGTGTAAAAGCTCCAAGACGTTTGTGTGCAAAAGCTCCTTAGAGGAAAGACTTCTCTGTGTAAAACCTTCTGTGTGTAAAAAGCTCCTCTGTGTAAAAGCACCTGTGTGTGTGTAAAAGCTTGCTGTGTGTAAACGCTTTTGTGTGTAAACGCTCCTCTGTGTAAAGTCTTCTCTGTGTAAAAGCTTCTGTGTGCAAACGCGTCTGTGTGTAAAAAACCCTCTGTGTAAAGACTTCTTCGTGTAAAAACTTCTGTGTGTAAAAGCTCCTAGACGTTTGTCTGCAAAAGCTCCTTAGAGTAAAGACTTCTCTGTGTAAAACCTTCTGTATGTAAAAATCTCCTTTGTGTAAAGACTTCTCTGTGTAAAAGCCCCTGTGTGTGTAAAAGCTTCTGTGCGTCTCCTCCCTCCAGCTTTCTTTCGGGTCACGCTGTCGTCCAGTTTCAATCTGCAACGTTGTTTCTTGTGGAAGATTGCAAAGAACATGTGAAAGCATCGCGCGTTTAAAAATTGCACATGAACAGCGCACAAAGTGCTGTAATTTACAGCATTTTGCGCTGTCAGATGGCAAGAACCCGCGTAAATACTACAGTTTTAGTCCCCGAATGTGGCTAAAACACTGTTATTTACAGGGTTTCGTTCACGTCACGATGTTCGATTTTTTGAAAAACGTGTAAATACCAGCGTTTTTGCGTTCAGCAAGGCAAACAATCGGTTCAACAAGCGCAACAAATGCTGTAATTTACAAGGGTTTGGCGCCGTCACGGGCAAAACACTGTGTAAATACCAACGTTTCTGCGTCCAAAAGTGGCCAAAACACCGCTATTTTCGCCCAGCATTATTGCATTGTGTTTTTGTTTTGCTCGTGCAGAATATAGGATAGATAGGTGGGGTTCAGAGAGTTACACGTAGCCAGTTTGTCATAGAAGTGCAGTGCCATAGCATTACTCGCACAGCTCTGTCTCTTGAACAACAGGCACCAAGCCAAAGGGAGAGCAGCGTTAGTTCCATGTCCACTCTGTGGCCCGCAATTCACTCAGATTGATGGATGAATTGGTACTGACCTGGTAACCTGGTATTGATTTGCTCAAACTCTTCTGCAGTTAGGTTCTTGGAATGAGTGGTTCCAGAGACACATTCTTCGGTCGTATCAAGCTAAGAGACAAAACATTCTCTCTGGGGAGAGATGATGCATCTAGCCGCATAGCGAAGGGCAATTTTGGTATCACACAAGTACAGACAATAAGGTGGTGGGCTTGCAGTGCAACCGTTGGATCCCCAGGGATACAGTTTGTATCTTGAATCCATGTGTGTACTCTGGCCCTTTAGTGGACCAAGCGCAATGTGAGGTTGAGCAGCACACAGTAGCTCAGCCTGACCCAAGGGCCAAAGGGCTGACATGAGATTGCTTTGTCTGCAAACGGACGAGTCATTCTTCGCTTTTCAGTCCTGGGCTGGGATATTGCCATGGCTGGCATGTGTTTGACAATCCAAGGCGCATACCGCGAGTGTATGAAGTCTGGCAGGAGATTGGAAGCAGCAACACCAGGCAAAGTCTGCTCATCATGGTGACAGCATGTGTTGACAATTGTTGACACAGATAATATCATACCTGTGTTTGAAGCTCTTAAGGAGACACACGTGATGGTCATGTTGGTGGTCAAACTGTAATCCCTTTGTTGTTTCAGGTTTTGTTGCTGCGGCCGATGTGTCACCGGTCCGAAGATAGACTTTTGGTACAACTTGTGCGCATGGCCTGCCTCCTAGACGTTTTGTAGTGATATGAAGTGAATTCTAGTGCTTTCTCTGTTTCTCGTCCGACGGGAGGGCACATTTTTGGCATTGTGGCCAAGCAATGACCCACCGGAGGTTCTTCATCCTCATCCCTTCAGGATTGTACTTTGTCTTGTGTTCCCAGCCCAGCATTTCAAAGGGTTTGAATTTGCACTGACTTTCATTTTTTTCTTGTTTTCTTGCTGTCTTCGGGACGGGCTGAGGCTCTGACTACCTCTGGCACCGTGGGCTCTTTCCATTGCCAATCCTGACTGGCATAGCCGTGCTCTCGGCACTCACACCACGTTTTGGTTTATATCATAATATCATATATGCGAAGTCCAGGGGGAAGTCGGCACACAAGGTCCGGTCCGCCTAATGCAGCTGCAAAGCTGCCCGCAACCTTTCACGAAAAGGTCGCGTCACCGTAGCGCCATGAAGCGCAAATGTTCCCTCCCTTAAGAGGTAATGCAGCGGAAGCCACTGCAAATGAAGTGAAATCCCTACAAAGCCCCTAGTGCATGGAGTGCACTTCACACGGGGGAGTATTGGTGAAACAAAAGGAAAACAGGGCCGTTTTGGCCATCATCGTCAGCGAGAAGCCTGCACAGGGCTTAGCACGGCCTGCTCAGGGCCAGATCAGCCAGCTGCAGTAGAGGCGTCAGCGCTACCAGAAGAAGGTGCTGCGCCAGTAGGAGCTGCTCCAGGAACCACAGGAAACATCGGGTAGTCCGCATTGGAGGTGTCGAAGAACTGAGCAGACACCAGCCATCCAGTCATGGCGTTGTGCAACGTCACGCCGTTCTCATTCCGGATGTGGGGCGTCATCACATCCTGAGCACAGGCTTGACAAGGCCACAGCCCTCGAACAAAGGAGTTGTGGAGGTGGTAACATCCTCCATCGGTGTGCCACACCGTCCCTCTGTTCGCCACAGCGATCTCACCATTGCGGTGATATCTGTTGAAGTGGTGCTCGAGCTCGTTGTGGGCCCGGTTCATCACACGCATGCCACTGGTGCGAATCCTCTCATACTCAGAAATTGAGTTTTCGAGAGACCTGATGTGTCGCTCAAACGTCACCACCTGCTCGTTCTTCTGGAAGTAGCTTTGCTCCAAAGCCAGCAGGTTCCGTTGCAGTCTGTCTGCTTTGGCCCGTAGGGCGTGCAGAAGCTCTGGTTGGGCATTGGCGAGATGACCTCGTAGATCTTGGATATGTTGGTTGAGATTGGCAATCTCTGTAATTTTTCGGCTGAGTTGCTGTGCCATCTCTTCCAAGGCTTCATTCCTTGAGTTGAGTTCTTCCGTCTTCTCCTCCAGCAATCGCTCAAAGCGCTCAGCTCTGACAGCTCGCCGCCGCAAAACAAAGCGGTAGCCCTGATGCCATCCAAAAACCAATGCAGCCTTATGGGCAATGAAGACAATGGTGAGGAAGAGGATCAGGAGGAAGATGTCATAGGAGAAGTCGTAGAGGAAGTCAAGGACGTAGGAACCAGATCCAAGACCTTCGGTCTTCGGCTCATCGATCTGCAGTGGGCATTGTGCCACAGAAAGATCATCAAAACTTGAGGGAAGCGCTTCTGTCGCCTTCCCGGAGACCAGACAGCAAAATGCCGTCAACCATCTCATCCACCAAGACATAGAGCGACTTGCGCTGGTGGCAAAGTTCCCGGTCGCCGTGTTGACGTTCGTCAGGTCGGCAATGACCTCAGGCCCTTGATTGATGGAGAGCTCAGGGTGCTCATAGTGGTTGGTCTCCTCATCGGCCATGACATAGTCCACAGGGTCAGCCATGTAGACATAGGACTCCATGTAATGAGTCGCATGGCCAGGAACTTCGTCATCTTGGTCAGGCTGATGTTCATCAGCATCTTCTTTTGGCTTGCTGAACTCGTTCTGGCTCTGCAGGCGTGTTTGGAGATCCTTCCGCTTTGAGGCTTGATAGGTGGGGTCCCAGGTGAACTTCAGGCGGTGATGCCGAAGTCGATCAGCTAAGAGCTGTCGTGTTGACTCTTTTGTGAGCCCATCGGCAAACTGCCGTTCAGAGCTATGCCACCGTAGTGAACCACCCAAGGATTGTAATCCTTCTTTGATCACCTTGACCTCCAAAGCGGTTCGACGGTCAGTCAGACCAGTCCCAAAGCCATCTCTGTGAAAGCTGTCGTACAGGGCTTTGGCGTCAGTCACCAAAACAGGTGAGAGAGATGAAGGTCTCTCCAGGATCTCGGCCAGGGTCGCGTCGGGGTCTTTGAGGCACTCCCAGAAGCGACATATGAAGTCAACGCTGTCCTCTGCTTGTCCAGCGGCCTGGGCTTCAGCGCCAAGAGAAGATCGTGTCACCCGAGGCAGCTTCGAGCTTTTCCAGTCGATGACATGGTATGGACACTCTTGTCCATCAAAGGCCTTCTGATTGATCAACATCGTGATCCAGCCTCCTTGTGAGGAGTAGTCTCGGCGGATGCCGAAGGCAGCATCGAACTGGCAAACCAAGCGCAGTGAATCCGCAGTGCCCAGAGGCTCATAGCAAAGCTTCACATCGCTGTTGCTCTTGGCGAACTTCAGCAGCTTGTTTGCTTCTTGAAGACTTCGTACCAGTCCAGCGCTGATGTTGCTGGCAAGCAAGGAAGTAGAGCACTGCAGGTGCGGTTGGCTTTGAACTGCAGGCCATTGCAGTGAGCCAAGTAGAGCTCGTAGTTGAGATGTCTCGCTAGGAGTCATCACATCATCAGGACCGCGTCCACGTGCCACAGGGATCGGCTTGACCTTCTTCAGGAAGGGGTCGTGATGAAGAGCCCAGCCACCAGTTGGAGTCTTTTCCAAAGAAGCTCCACAGTATTCCAGCTTGGCATCAGTCTGCCATTCTCTGAAGTTGAAGGCTTGCTTGAGCTCAGCCTCTTTGGCCTGATACACCTTTGAACTTGTAGAGCCACCACCCAGCATGTCATCCACGTGGATGCAGACCATAGCACAAAGTCCGTGAGGTCCAAGTAGCTCTTCAGGTGGTGCAGGTTGTTCACGACCTTCAGGAAAGTCTTGCTCATAGAGCAGGAAGGTGCAAGGGTCAAGAGGGTACTCTGAAACCCAAACCAAGTAGTCGGCGTGAAGCCTCCAAAAACCATCTTCTGGGCGCATCCAGCTGACCATAGATCGGCTTGTGGAGGAACATGCGAACATCAGGTTCACAGCCCAGAATTGCCAAAGCATCAGCTGGAAGCTTGACCCAAAGGCGTCGCTGTTGTGGGACACCCTGCAAGAAGGCAGTGGACACATCGGCTGTCCAATCCAGACCATTTCAAACAGCTTGACAAAGTCAAGAGCATTGATCTGCTGAGCCTCGACGTAGTGGGTGCTGAAGTCTCGACCCGGCCTTCTAAGGCATCTCGGTCAGCATAGCCACGGACTATCAGCCTGGCTTTGGCACGAGGGGACCCATCAGGATTGCGACTCCACTTCAGGAGCATCCTTGATGACAGCGTCCGTGTCGGGTCGGCCTCTTTTTCTGTTGAGAACTCCCACACGCCGTGCTCAAAGAAGCTCTTCAGCTCTTTCGCCTTCGCAGCCATGAACTGCTCCTTTTCCCAAAGCGACATGTTGCGCTCTGAAAGTTCGGCTGGTTTCTTGCCGGTCTTCTTGGCAGTCATGTGCTTGTACTGTCTGGCCACCTTTTTCGCAGGCATGGCAGTAGCCATCATGGCATGTTCTTTGCGAACCTTGCCAGTCAGTTGGTAGACTGTGATGCCAGTCCATGTTGTGGGCATAGGCTTTTCTCGGGTGTTGATGTTGTTAGTCATCACGTTGGTGGTGCCGTTGGGCAATCTCATCATCGTCACCCGGATTGGATCCAGCATGTCAGCTGTGACAGGGCAGTCAGGACCAGGAGCAAACTCATGTAGTAGTCGTCGAGGTCGAAGGTGATGCCTGATCAGGCAGCCTGACTTCACCTCCCAGTAGTCTTCCATCTTAGAGAGGTCGAGCTGGATGTAGCCTTGCTCATCAACATGCCATCCCTGAGGAAGCTCAGTGGCATCAAGGTCGGTGACCGTGAAGGCATGGTTGAAGAGAGCTTGTTCTTCAGTAGGCTGTTGAGGTAGAGAAGGTTCAGCAGGTTGTAGTGGTTGGGAACTCCGAGGAGCTCGGTGTGGCTCTTCATAGGGCGCTGGAAGTCTGTGTCTGCGCCTCATTGGACCAAAGAGAGAGCTTTCCTGAGCGTCAAATCGCCGACGCATCTGGTGGAAGGTCTCTTCAGGGGCAGGCTCGTAAAGAGCGGCCGTTTCAGGGTCCAAAGTCAGAGCCGGTCTCGACGCAGCAGCCAAAGCTGGTGTCGGTGGCACAGAGGGTTCTTGTCCAGGTTCAAGCTCATCAGGCTCTGGCACTGGAAGGTGTGCAGCTGCATCTTGATCCACAAGGATCGCATCATCATCACTGGGGACCACCTCAGTGGGGGCATTCTCATCCACAGGTGTGCCAGGTGAGTACCCAGGTGTGCGTGGGCCATCATCAAGGTCGCCAAGGCCAGGTAGTGCAGGAAGACCTTGAACAGGTCGAGCAGGGCCTTCAAGGCGTCGCCGTTGGCGTGGAGGTTGGAGATCATCATCATCGCCCCCTGCTCCATCGCTCATCTCATCATCATCCAAGTCGTCCAAGTTGTGCTTGTTGATGCGCTCCAAGTCCAAGAAGCGCGTCACGCCACGTGAGCGAAGTCCAGCAACGGCTTTCTTGGCCTCCTTGGCGTCCTCGATCTGGTTGGTCATGGACGTCAGGTCAGCACGCACATGATGTGGTGCACATCGCAGCAGTTGTGTCTTCCAAGCCAGCCAGTAGGTGTGGGGTGCTCCTTGATCATCATCTTCTCGCATCACCACACGTGCTGGGCCGTGCCATCTGATCTTGGTGAGCTTGTCCTCCCTCTGATCACGCCAAAAGTGGCAAAGCTGTCCAACTTCGATCGGGAAGTTGGTGCCTTGATACTGTCGGAGTAGTGCTCTTCTGAGCTTGGAGTCTTCCTCAGCTAGAGCTAAGGCTGTCTTGGCGGCAGTGCGATTCTTGAGGACATTCTCAAAGTTGTATCCATCAAGTTGGCCAGGTGAAAGTCGTTCACCACAAAGTTCACCAGGTAGTGTCACCTGCTTGCCCAGGACCCATTGCATAGGGCTGAAGCCAGCCACCGTTGTCGAAGAGTTGATCTGGGGCAACACGTAGGTCAGAGCCATTCGGACTCCAGTGGTGTTGTCCAGGTTGCGGTCAGTCATGAAGATCTCGGCCGCTTTGCGCAAGACAGAGTGTCGGCGCTCAACTGCAGACAAACGCGTGTGAGCTTCACCTGGGGCAACTTCATGTTGGACACCAAAGTCAGTGGTCCATTCAGAGAACTCAGTACCACACCATCCTCTCCCTTCGTCCGTCACCAGTTTGGTGGGGATGCCAAAGTGCTTGATCCAGCATCGCTCGAGGCCCTTGATAAGGTCGGGACCACGCTCGGACTTCAGGAGAGATGCCACTTGGTATTTGGTGGCGGTGTCGACCACAGACAAAACTGGAAACTTGTCCTCGCCAATCTTCAGTCAGAGAACGTCAGCTTGAACACATTCTCCCAACTCAGTGGCTCGTTGTCGAAGAGTCGCTGGTGATGGGTTGTTGGGCTTCTTGTAGCGCAAACAGGCCACGCACTTGTAAGAGCGAGCGGCTTCAACCACAGCATCTGAAGCACCTCGACTTTGAAGAAGTTCCACAAGGGATTCTGGGCTCGGGTGCCCCAAGTTGCGGTGTAGCCGTTGGACTGTTCGCACCGCTTCTGCTTTGAGGTTGGTCTGCAACTGGATGAGTCTACCAGTGACCTCCTTCTGCTCCGGAACTGCCATAGCGTGTTCCCATAGTTGAGGTGGATCTGGAGCGTAGATCGCAGAGGCCAGTGTTGCCGCAAGGCTGGGCTGGTAGTTCTCCATGTAGGAAGTTCTACGGCCAATGCCGCTTGCAGATCCCTCCAAAGCACAGTGGTTGTGTTGCCCATCGCAAAGTCGATTCATCGCCACTGACATCGTGACCTTGGAGGTCAAAAGGGCTGTTGCCTTTTTCACAAGCTCCCATGAGCCAACAGGGTTGAGGCAGCAGCTGCCAAACATGCACTGGTGGAAGATCGTGAAGTAGCCCGGAAGATCTTTGAGTGCGGTGGTCTTCCAACTGCGAGCAAGTTCAGGCTGCTCTATATGGGCATGTCGGGCATTGTCCACCTGCTCCATGTAGATCTGGGCAACGAACTTCAAGTGCACCTTGTGGTGTCGAGCTCGCTTGTTGTAGAGCTCCAGCTGCTGAGACTCAGTTCGAGCCGCAAGGTTCTGCATTTGGCTCCACAGCCGGCAGTCAGGGCTGATGTAAACTTCATCTGGCATCTCATCACGTTGACGTTCCAGAAAGGCACGTTGGTGCTCAGGATCATCAAAGTCCCATCCAGTGTTGGGCCCAAAACATTCCACAGTCATGCCCATGCTTTCGGCGATCTTGGCCACTCGAGCCTCACCACAGTACACTTCCCACAAGACCCAAGGTCGGTCACCAGAGTTGTGCAGCTCGGAGGTGACATAGGCATGGAGGCTGTTCTCCAACTCGTTCAAGTGGACGTCACAAGTGTCCAACAGATGGCGCTGCATAGGGCGCATGCCCTCATTTGATGCACATTCAGTTGGGGCCATCTCAAACAGGTTCTCCATGTTGTTGAACTCCTTGAAAGTCGTGGTGTTGGCTTCGGTGTCGGCTGGGGCAATCAGCTCAAACGCTGGTGGGTGAGCCAGCCAGGCCAAGTCATAGTCGTCCAAAAGTGGCAAGAGGTACTCGCCATGGGCTCCAATCACAGTGGGCTGCCAATCCATGTCGCCGAGCTTGATGCATCGTCGGCCACAATCCAGGACCAATCCCAGTTGCTCCATGATCGGCCGTCCCATCAGCATAGGCGTTTCTCCCTTAAGGAGGTACATCTGGACATAGCCAAACTGGCCAGCCAGAAACATGGGCAGCTTCACTGTCCACTGGCACTGAGAGCTTGCATCACCTCCAAAGTGGAAGGTGCGAGAGCATCGCATGAACTCCAGCTGCGTGATGTCAAAGTCCATCTCGCGCAGCTTCTCCACGTAGCGCTTGAAGGGACCGTAGCCGCTCAGGAATGCTGAAGCGCCAGGGTCCAGCATCGAGCAGTCAGGTCGCTCATGGCCACGGTCATCCAAGAAGATGACAAGTCCATGCTCATCTCCAACCACTGACTCGGTTGGTGCAGATCTCTTCTTTGGGCTCCCTTTTGGAACTGGACAGTTGTAAGTTGTGTGACCCTGCTGTCCACACCTCAGGCACGTCGTAGATGCCAGGGCTGCTTGAGCACGTCCACGAGGGTCAGCTTTTCCAGGACCACGTGGTGGGTACTTCACGGTCGTGCGACCACCCTTGCCCTTGTTCTTCCCTTTTGGTTTGCCTTTCCCTTTGCCTCGACCAGGTGAAGACGAAGGTGAGGCTGATGGCGAAATGCCAGGGGAAAGTCCAGCACCAGCTTCGCTGAGGGCGACAATGGGCAAGTAGCCACGTGCCAGCTTGTCGTTGAAGCGCTTGCGAGCATCAAGGTAGGCTGCAGAGGCACTGTCGTACTCCTCAGCTTGCTCTTGTGGGTCTTCAGGAGGAGCTTCATCACCATAGTAGGCTGCATCATCATCAAACCCAGCGGTGTCCTCCTCATAGTACCCGTGGTGCGAGGGAGACTCATAGTGGCTCGGTGAGTCATTGTGCTCCGTGTAGTACTCGTCGTACTCATAGTAGACGGAGTAGCCGTCATCATCATAGTTGTAGGGCTCATCCCATTGACCTGAATCATCGGCTTCATCCTCATAGAAGGCTGCATAGCCACGACCTTTTCCTCTGTGGCCTCCTTTAGAGTGTCCAGCCACAGTCTTGAAGTCTTGGCCCAGCACCAGGAAGAGCGTCTCCTGGACCTTGTTCTTCTCCAGGCTAGGGGCTTGCGTCAGCACCAATTGACGCTGTTCACGCGTCAAGCCAGCACGTCGTAGGAGGTGCCACCCTTGAACCTGGTTCGGCAACGTCACCTTGTGGTCGGCCAACCTGTTGTAGAGCTCGTCATGCAGGGTGCAATAGTCCAGCAACGTCTGACCACTGTGTCGCTGGAAGCCACTGAAGTACTTGTCGAAGTCGCCAGGGAGTTGAACTCTGTTGTCATACTCAAAGGCCTTGTCCAACAGCTTCATCAGACGGTTGAAGGCATCGCCCTTCTCCACATCCTCCAGCGGGAAAGTTTCCACAACCTTCCAGGCTGTTCCACTCAGGCTGGAGATCAAGTTGAGGACACCTTCCGTCTCCCGCTTCAACAGCTTCATCTTGGTCATGTAGAGGGTTATCCTCTTCCGCCACTCGCGGTAGTCACTGGGTGCACCGCTGAACAAAGGCACGTAGTTGTCCTTGGTCACAGAGTTGTCACCCATGGAGCTCGCAGCTGATGACATAGTCCAGGCTGTAGTTCCAGTCGCCTGCACAGGGCGAAGCGCAAGAGGCCTGCTCAGGGCCTAGCACTGCAGCAAAGGGCCAGCTCAAGGCCGTAGTCCAAAGAGAGACCTGCTCAGGGTCTAGCACAGCAATGGGCCAGCACAAGGCCAAAGCAAGTAGAAAGAGAGGCCTGCTCAGGGCCTAGCGCAGCGAAGGGCCAGCTCAAGGCCAAAGTCCAGCAAAGGGCCTGCACAGGGCCGGGACCACAAAGTCCAGTGCAGCGCAGCCAAGGTCGTAGAGCTCGAAGAACTGATCTGGTCGCAGACCTTGTCCTCCAAGCGAAGCCACGGAGCGCAAAGGCTCCGCTGCCAATGCGAAGTCCAGGGGGAAGTCGGCACACAAGGTCCGGTCCGCCTAATGCAGCTGCAAAGCTGCCCGCAACCTTTCACGAAAAGGTCGCGTCACCGTAGCGCCATGAAGCGCAAATGTTCCCTCCCTTAAGAGGTAATGCAGCGGAAGCCACTGCAAATGAAGTGAAATCCCTACAAAGCCCCTAGTGCATGGAGCGCACTTCACAATATAATATCATACGGTATAATATCATATAATATCTCCATTTATCTCCCCGCGGAGATATCTCTAGGGTTTTTGACTTTGGCATGCGTGACAGCATCAATGTGGACTCGTGAAGCTCGGACATTGGACACTACAAACAATAGACACAATAGACATTCAATAGACTTGAACAAGACTTATAAACACATTGAACATTCTGGCACTTCATGATGCTTCTCCGCCCCAGGTTCTCCTGACCACAATCATTTTCCTTCTGCTGACCTCCTGCACAGATCCAGGAGTGGGGTACGAGTCATTAAGAGCGCACATTTCAGCAAAGCCAACTAAGATCACAAAGCTCAGGGTGATAGATGCAAAAGAGCTGGAGTACTTGAGACAGGAATATAAGCATTATATAACCCAGAATAACAGAATGGATGAATTCAAATCAAACTTCAATTGTGATCCAGGCATCTTGCCTAGACGCAGACTCCGCGCGCTGCTGCCGGGGCAAAGCTCTTAGCATCTCTTCAGAACTTCACCCTCCTTTCGGTGTCCTTTCGGCTTCTTGTGAGAGCCTTTTGGAAAGCTTCTTGCAGAGCCTTTTGCAAATTTTGCTAAGAGCCCTTTGCTACGCTTTGCTTGCTCTCCATCGCCTTTAGGGGTCAAGAGAGTGTCTTGGAATGTGGAGAGTGTCTTTGCTTGTTGAAGTCAACCTGAGTCGAGGTTGGAGGAAGAAGTGAGCAACACGCTTGCACTTCCTGAAGACCTCCAAGACTGTGTCTCTGTTCTCAGTTCACGTCTGGAAAGGTTTTTTTTTTTGCAGTTTTTGATCTTTTGCTGCAAGTTGTGAATGTATTGTACAACTCTGTATAATGTGTATACGGTTATTGCATGACAATGTCATGACAGTGATAATTGAGAATGGCTCGTGTCTTGTCCTGAAGCCAAATGGCTCCAAGGTTGCCGACGGCTTAACGCCTCCAACACTGTCGGATCTGTTTGGCCCTTAGAATGAACACAGCAAACATGTCGACAGGACACGTAGACAAGGCATGTCAAGTTCAAAGACATGCCATCCTCAGGCGGCAGTCACAGGGCTATAAATGGTGCTCTACTTGCCAGGCAAGATGATGCATGATGTTTCAGACATTCGACATGCTCGTGCCATCCACTACTTGCAAGGAAGTGCAGATGTATCTACTACTGGTTTGGTGAGGTGGCTATACACATCAATAATTACACTCACACAATACAATACACAGGATGCACATGCATCTCATGACGCACATACTAGTTACATGACACGTATGTAGAGCATGTCCGAGAAGGTCGCAACGTACTGCAGCAGTCGCAATGAGGATGCACAAAGTAATAACAAGGAGGAAAATAGTGCGATTTATATGGTCACGTATGGTCACATATATGCGCATTCTTCATGATCCATGCCCGCCCACGACAGGTGATGCGCCCGCCACGATGTTCACATTGTGATGATTGTGGAAATTGTGTGCTCACGCCAGGCTCTCAGATGGTCCCTGATCTCATTGTGGATCAGATGGGACAACGCAAGTTTGATCGCGAAAAGTATAGCCAGATTAGCAGGTATTCCAAGCTTCCTGTAGGCCTAGTCACCTAGTCCCTCACAGGTACCACTAGGTGTGTCTCTTCGAGATGCTCGTACTATGTTGTACTTCAATGGCTGAGTTTCTAGGGTCATGGACAACCCTGTCTTTGATAATTATTGATGATATTGGCCTGGGTCTGGGAGATTTTATATACAGGGATGAATTGTAGCTCTCACATGCTCTCACCACTGACATCATGGCAATGATGTCGTCACCGTCCTCCTCATGCATATCATAATGATCATCATGTTGACGCTGAATGCTGACGGTGATGCTTACAGTATGATGATGACGACGATGATCACTCCTCTCCTCCTAAGCCTCTTCTTTGTCATTATGACCCTTTACTGTCCTGCTCCTCATTCACACTATTCACACCACTATCAGCCTATTCTACTTTTCCTAGTTATCATTGTCGCTGTCCAGTGGGGCCCACAGCTCTGCCAACACGTCCTTCACGTAGAGGGCAGCTTTGGAGCCGCACTACATCTTGTCCACCAATCTTCTAAGGAGTCTCTCAAGCATGGTCCCTGCATCCCGAGGGGTTCTTGAGCGCTTCAGTGCATTGATCATAGGGCATTCCATGGCATTCCAATTTTCTCTCTCTGTGATTCTCTGTGGCAACGCTTTGATACTTGGGCACTCCATTTCCCCTCACGTTTCCCCTGGCTGACCATATTCGTTTTCCATATCATGCCATTGCTAACCTGCATTGTCGCCCCTTGTTGCCTTCCGTCTCGCATTCCTACAAGTAGTGCGCTTTGTCCTGATTGTCCCCGCCGTTCTGTTCTCGTATGTTTGGCTGCTTAGTTTGAAAGGTTTTGATAGTGAATGATGAGACTGCAAGCATGCAAGGTTTGACCACCACTGTCCATTTGTGAACAACTGCATCGGCCAGAGGACGACACAAGAATGCACACACACACACAGACAGACGGGAACTGCTGATCAACACATGCATCCTGAATTGCTCCAGGAATTACTTGTACTTCTCTGCTTTCCTCGTGTCAACAGGGTGCGCAGCCCTTGTCGCTCCTTTGAATGCCACACCCCACATCACGGTCGCATTTTTGCTCCGTTACGTTTCCGCGGCGGTCAGGTGCCTGAGCTTCTCTGTTGCAGTAGGATTCGGCTTGGGACTTAGGCTCGTTGCAGTGCATCCCTGCGCAAGATATGCATACAGCCATTTTTGTCACTCTTGACTTGATGCTCGTTTTGGAAAGGGTTGGTCTATATAGTCATCGTTTGGGTTTGTTCGCAGCCTGCTAGCACTGACAAACAAACCCAAGTTTCATATCTGCAATTCTTTTGAGAAACAAAGTATATACTTTGTTTGTCCTTATTTTCTTCTTGCTTGAGGTATCAAGCTCCTCGGCTATGCGCCCTCTCCACGTGGTAGTTTTACAGGGTAGGGTGCTTAGTTAAGACACATCTGTTTGAAATCATATTGTACACCCGCAAGTAATTTCAAGACATCCGACTTGTGTGCAGTTCTGGAGCCCCATGAGCTCCCTCTTTCTCTCTCTCTCTCTCTCTCCCTCTCCCACCCTCTCTCCTCCTCTGTACATCTTGTTGCTGGGGATATTCTTTTGCTCTGTTGTTGCTGCTTTTTACACCACAACTTGTGACTATATCTCTCTGTCTCTATATGTTATATTATATTATGTTATATTCTATTATGTTATATTATATTATATTATATTATGTTATATTATATTACTATATATTAACTTGATTTATATTTATATTATATTGTATTTATTACTACATTTATATTCTTATAATTATATTTATATCATTATATTTACTTTATTTTATTTATATTATATTTTATTGTATTACATTACATTATATTAACTTATATTATATTTTTATATTATATATATATTGATTTATATTATATTATATTATAATATATTATATTATATTGTATTTTTTATATTATATTATATTATATTACGCATATTAACTTATACTATACTATATTACGTATATTAACTTATATTATCTTATATTATATTACGTATATCAACTTATATTATATTATATTATATTATATTATGTTAGATTAAGTTATATTATATTACATCGTATTATATGGCTATAATGCATACATATACATATACATATACATATACATATACATATACATATACACATACATATATACATATATATATACATATACATATACACACATACATATATATATATGTACATGTGCATGTGCATGTGCATGTACACATACACATACCGATTCGCCGATACATACATACACATGACAAGTCCTTTTTTAATTTTTATTTTTGCCAGCTGCGGTGGGAATTCTTGATTCCACATTGAGAAACTATATAGTGCGTGGTTTTGCCAGCAACAATGAATCTCCAGCCGTTATGAAGAGTCTTTGACCACACCGAAATCCTGAGAGCTGAGAGAGCAGCCAACACAAAAGATGTAAGAAGAGCAAACTATAGGTAACCATACCAAAAGCGGTTCTGCGAATGTGTGAAGTTGAAACAGGTCCAAACTGCCTGGGACAGAAACCAAGATTTCGATACACTCAAGAGAGTAGATGCTCTTGCAACTACCATGCTTTTATGCATCAGCCAGGCTGTCATGTATGAATGGTTGCGTTGATGCCTTACAAACGTTACTATCATGCTGGTGCTTATTTCCTTTTGTTCCTTCTTAGCACTGCTGGCCCTGGTCCCACAAAGTGCGTGTTTTCTGTTTTCTTCTAGATGAGATGCATCGTTTCGGTCTTGACTTGTCGGGTCAAGACATCATCTTCGTGGGCCTCTTGGAGGTTGCAATTTCAGCATCTGGTTGTAATCTAGTGCAGATGCGTTGCTCCAAATCCAAACCAAGACCAACCCTTAAAGACGCTCCCAGATGCCAATGCAATCAAAACAACAAGCAGTAGTAGTGGTGATTGGTTGAAATGCGCTTCCTGATCGTAGCAATCACACAGTAAATCCATGTATATAAAAGCAAGTCTTTCTGCTAGATTTGATGCCAGCCAGCATTCCTTTTGAGTTGTAGAGTTTGAGTAGTTCGGATAGGTAAAATAAGCAGCACAGCATGTCGCAAAAACTTATCGAAAGCGGTGCAGCTACTTGGCAGGAGCCCGCTTCTTATCATTATTCTTCTATTGGTTGGCCTTCCGACGGCAGTGTTTCTTCTGGGTGCGTCACTCAGATGTCTGTCCTCTTCAGGATGCAGAGAGGTAGATCTTCCTTAGTAAGCTTACTAAGCTTAGAGACATTTCTGTCCAGGAGTCATTGCATTGATGATGTTCCACATCTTCCTGCTGTGCACGGGCAAAACGACGAAAGAGGCACCCCAGTGGAGATGACTTAGAGGCACAAAACAGACACAAAAGCGTCAAGACACAGTTCTCACTTCTTCATCTGCGCAGGTCTTGACAGGACGAACAGTCCTGCAAGGCCGTTCGCTCTTTGAGCGGCCTCCTTCGCTTATCCATGCCAGGGCACAGGTGCCAGATGCAGCTGGGCAAATATATTTTCAGTAACCATCCCTCAAGAAGTCCCAAGCACGAGGTATTTGAAAGAAACTCACAACACAAAACTGACATAGTGACATAGCAAATAATTCAATATATTAATATGCCAAGAACATTTGCACACAATTATGTAGCAACGTTGATACTATGGCCGTCTTGGTTTCGGTTCTGTGGAAACTTCTGGGCTCCAGGGTAGTTGGATGCAACTGTATTGCTCCATGTCAGGTCGACACACCGCTTGATGCCTGAGTGTGGCTTCGGATAGATGAGCACGCAGCGCAATCACACCGAAAGGATCCAAAAGCCTTGTGATTCGGTAGATGATTCACAAATTTGATCAGAGCCAACAGCATCTCTGAAGACTAGAGTGTTGCCAGACGAAATGATATCAATAAATCACACACACACACACATTTCATATCATTTCTATATGATATACAGTACAAGCAGTCTGGACTTGCACAGGGAGACACCGCTCCGAACTGGACACGAGTCAGTGCTGAAGGTGAAAGAGCTTGCAGTCGCTTGTGAGTTGCCAAAAGAAACACCATCCCTCCAATCCCGGGAAGGACTCCAATGGAACGACAGAAGAAGACATGCTTAGTGAGCCAGCGCACGAGTCATGCGTTTTCTTGTGCGTACTCAGCTGCGACACAATCAAACCAAAGCAAGTGCAACCTGTGAAACGTCGAGTCAAATTCAAATTGCCAAACTTAGTGTTCTGGCCGCACATATCCGCATTATGTTTCAACGTTTTGTGAACAAATATAGAAACATAGGATGACATGGTCAGCTTATGTCAGCTTGTTTTGTGGCAAAAGCCAAGGGCTGTAAACAGGGTCAGAAAATAACAGCAAATCATCCTAGCCAAGAACCTTTTGCAATGGGAAATACACTGCTGGCAACCCAGAAGGCGCCGAGACTCGCAAGCCCTAATCAATTTTGATCGACCCTCTGGAAAATTTGAAGTCGAGTTACTCGAGCACATTAGGGACCTCTTAGGAGGGAGAAGCTTTTGAAGCAAAATGGTTGCCTCGTGGATTTGTGGATGACTGCCATTTTCGCCTGAAACAGCTAGACAACCGGTGGTGAATTCACTGTTTCAACAACGGTCCCTTTCAGAAAAATGTCTCTTGCTGCCGCTGAGATAGCATGCGGCCATACCGATCGCCTTCACATCAGGCCAGGTTCCGAAAGCTTGCTGTGCCTCCCTTACGTTTCGTGCATCAAGTTCTTATATCAACTTACTGTATATCATTTTGCTTTATCGCATGGTTGTGCCAATGTGGATAGAGCACAGCCCTGCACCTCGCTTTTGCCATCGTTTGATCCTAACACGTTTTTCTTGAATTAAGACGTGTGGGCTGCTGTCTACCTGAGACACTGAGTCTATCTACTTTGGTCATCTTTGGTCTATTTTGTGTGCGACGCATCCAATTTCAATTGCATACGCCTAGCGCGACGCTGAAAATAAAGAAACGTTGTCTTGTGCAGATTGCTCGGTGCTTCGGCGCTAGGCAGAACCTCTTGTGCGATCGCCTCTCGCAGCCAACTGCAGAGGCCTGGGACGCACAGGGCCGGGCCTTTGCAACTGCGTCAAATTAAATGACAACAAATCAATTAAATATCAATTAAATATCAATTAAATATCAATTAAATATCAATTAAATATCAATAAGTCAATAAATGACATCTAAAACGGAACATCGGAATGGAATCCAAATAGTCCACAGCGTGGCTATGGCAAGCTGGTCATGGCAAGTGTCAATGGCAAGTGGAGATGGTTGTCACATGCCTCAAGATTCTCATGAGGAAGAACAGTTGGTTGAATCGATGGCGGTCTAAGATGTCGATCGAATCGGCCAGATGGTGGATGCTTTCATCTTCCTGCAAGATCACAAAGCTGATATGCGGAAGCTTGGCTCTGCTAAGACATTTTCACTTACTCGCAGTGTATTCTAGTCCGCTTGCAAACAGCGAGTAGAAGGACAATTCCTCAACAATGAGACAACAATAAGACAACAATAAGACAACAATAAGACAACAGTAACCACTTTCATTCATTTTGAGCAAAGCGTGCTGCACATCAAAACTCCAAAGCCACATATTTGCCTCAGGCATATAGGAGAGACTCTCACGCAGCAAAGCCAAAGAAGGCCTGTCGTCTCCGAGTTATTTGCCGGCTTATTTGTGTGTCAGGTTGACATGCCACTCGGCATTCGGCAGCGGCAAAATTGTGATCTCTCGTGACTTTGAATCCAAGAAGCTTTGACCATCTACCGCTTTCCAGGCATGCGACCAAGGAGTTGATGCTTGCAACGTGCTTTTGCATTTTTTTTGAGTGCGCCTTCCACCTCATTTCTTCTTGCCGCTACTCCTGTACTGTATTTGCTCCTTTGCGGAATGTGGTATGCTACGTGTAGTGTTTTGATAGTTAGGTATCTCCCAATTGCAGAGAGTGGCGATGTCAGCTCCTAAGCGATCTGAGTGAAGTGTTAGTACATGCTTGGCAAGACTTGATGCAGACCTACTGAGGCAGCCAGGGTGCTTGAAACGTTCTCAGGCTGGACAGAATTTGTTGCCATTGAGTTGGATGTATATATAGGTATCACATAGGTATCACATAGGTTGCATGTAGGTCGAGTCTTAAACATAGACATAATTCAGAGAGTGACTAATTGCAGCGGGATGATCTTCCAGAGATGTAGAACTCTGGGCATCTCATGGGCGATTTAGGTGTTCTGAGCCGGCCTGATGACTTCCTGGAGGATGTCGCGGTCGTTTTTTTTTTTTAATTTGCCAGTTCTTGCCCGGACGCGCTCCAGTTATGCCATGCCACAGGTATATTTTTGCCATATCTCAAGATTTCTCTGTACATTTGGACTGGTTTGAACAAGCTGTAACAAGCTGACAGGATTTGATGAAGCTGCGCGCACAAGGCGTGCCTAAGGAGCTGGATGAATTGTAGCGCAGACTTTGACGCGGTTTGAAGCGGTGCGCCGGGGTTTAATGACTCGTGACATGACTCAGATGACTCAGGACAAGATTTTCCGCCTTCAGCCCCTGATCCACGAGGTCTAAGAGTGCATTGTTCTCATCAGATCACCCCGACCAATTTTGTTTGGATCGGTCCAGGTTGACATCAATGGGACAGATTCTAGAGGAGTCAGGGTCTGAGAGGGCTTAGCCCCCAAATTGGACGCACTGTATTTAATCAAAGATGTGCCAGCAGACAAAGCATTGTTGCGGACTTCACAGACTCCACCAAAGTAGGACTATACATACACTATCATACACTGACATTTCCCTACATTCAAAAGACTAAAAAAGCACAACATCTCCACACGCTGGCCCTGTCGAGTGTATGCGTGCAACTAGGTCTTGGATTCATTGTCGGCATTCGCGAGAGCAGCACTAGAAAGTGCCCAGGTTTGCGATGTAGAGTTCTGTTTACTATCTTTATATATTGTTTCTATATCATAGTGTTTTCTTTTTGAGATGTCCATTTGAATACCTACCGTGCAAACTCTCTTTGACGTGAGCAGTTGACACAATTGATGCTGTCCTCATAACCAGAAATGTTGCAGAGACACATTGCGTTCTGATCCTTAGCCGCCTTAGCTGTAGCCCATCGTATTCCGTTGATAACTTAGGTTCACCGCAACCAAAGCAGATACACAGAATCAAATGTGGGTTAATGAGACCCGATTCTGTTCGTTTCCCCGTGCAGATCTACAGTGAAATCAGAGATGCGGCTGAAGCTGGTCAACTAGATCGGCAGCAGGCTGAAGGGGAATGATCACAGAGCACAACAGTGGACTGATCTCTTAAAATTGCAGCTGTCGAAATCTCATGACAAGAGTTTGCTTTCTAAGTGACAGCAGGTCCACAGCATTGCATCAGGATTTTCTCTTCAAAATTGTTTGATGTGATGTAAGTTGCGTGCTGATGCTACTGTAGCGGCTCCATCACCCAAATGGTGTATGGTAGGGTAGGGGCATTCTGTTTAGTTTCTTTTTCTTGTTCCATATATCTTCAAGTTTGCAACGTGTGGCGCCGGAGGAGCAGCACACACACACACTATTCATCAATGCCCACACTGGATTTGCAGAGCAATTGCATAAACTAAACACGCTCCCACCTTGTATATTCCTCATCCAATATTGTGCTTTGATTATATAACGGTTCCTGATCTCCTATTGAATGAAAATGCTTTGGAGTGAGTAGGCGCTGGCAACTGAAATAGTGTGTTTGCAAAGATCCAAATTTGATCCGAATAGTCGAAACTGTAGCGTCGAACTAATGGAGAAGTCTTGGAGACACCCTGCGACTGCAAGCCATCTTCAGCAGCACAACGGTTGAAAGATGCTGAGGGAACAGAAACAGAAGACGCGTGCTTGGTCTTGTCTGTATCTCGAATAGACCCTTGTATGATGTCACTTGCCATCAGGCAGCCAACCTGCTGGATTCTCTTGAAAGTGATCAAAGGAGCCTCTTGAAATTTCCAAGTCCTGTAAGATGGCTTTGACGATTAATCCAATCAACTTGTGGAGGAGGATGGTGAGTGCTATGGACACTGGCCAACAAGTCGTAGACGGACCGGCATCACCGTAGGACGTTTGGTTCTTTCATTTGACTGAGCTGATCCTGCTCTGGTGGCTGGTGGGAGTTGTTACTACAGTCCCGCAGACAAGGTTTCAAACCGTTTTGACACATGAACATGGTCAAAAAAACAAAAGCAAGGTGGGCAGAATATGAAGTCCCTTTAAGTGCAACGAGGTGCTGTTGCTTCTGGGTTCAGAGCCGAATTGAAACCCTGATAGGGGAATGGTGTCAGTACAGAGCACTTCTTCCTGCCATCTTTGACCCCTTGCATCATCTTGTATCGGATTGTATCCATACCAACAGATAGGCTAGTCGGACGTGTTGACCTTTGATGGATACAGTGCTCAACTGCCGGGTCAACAGAACAAAGCCTGCATGCATGCAGTCGGGAAAATGTGGTCTCTTGGTGTTTGGCAAGTGACAGCAGGATTTGTCAGGCCCATTATGTACAACTGTGCGATGAATTGTGTCAGCAAAATCAATGTGAAGCATCTGACGCCCGCAGCTATGTACTTGAAATGCTCTGCACAGCTTGTGGCTCAGTACTGTATAGTCTCACCCCGGAGTTTCTCCATGCTGGATGCGCGGAAATTGCAGCACCAGTCTCATCTCACATGGCAATCTCGGTGTGCACCTCGTTGCGTTGGAGATGAATTGCCGCCAAGCAGCTGGCGAGAGAGGGCATTGAAACACAGAGAGCTATGCCCAGTGTTGCAAGGGCGGCCACCAAAGCTTGTGGAAGGAAATGATGGAGGAAAGAGTATTGTGAATGATGTGAATGACGTGAAAGATATGAAAGTCTCCGAAGAATCAGCCCTTTTCTCGCCCGACAAGGACTTTGATTGGCAGTCGTCTTTACATTGGAGCACCCCTTCGCAGAGGCTGGATGATGATGATGATGGTGATGATGATGCAGATGGCAACATCACAGGCGTTCTTTGCAGAGTGGAACTCTCAAGATACATTGCGAGACGCAGTGCCATTTTGGCTCTTGAAGCTGAACGGTCAAGACAATTACACTCAGAAGCTTTCAGTGCCAACACCGAATCTGATGACTGGACAACTGAAGTTCCAGGAGCCCAAGCAGCTGAGATTTTGAGTCTGAAAGACACAGTGGCATGGAAAGCAGTTTTGGAGGCAATCTCCTTTGAACGGACACAGTTACGCAGAGGCTTCTCAAACAAATGGCCAGATTCCCTGTGGTCACCTGGCTGTTTAGCGGATTTAGATTCTGAATCGGCTCGGTCAGAGTTGTGTAGAATTGAACTCCAACTTGCGGAGTGGATCAAAGATCTTGAGGCGCTCGCTGATGGAAGCGATGTGATTCGGCAAGGGTTGCAGGCGATGCCAGTTGTGGTCCTTCTGAGACAGTTGCTGTGCGACTTCCGGATCGCTACTGGTGACCTTCCAGGTGCTGCAACAGCCCTAGCAGGTGCTGTTGCAACCGAATCTGGTGCAGATCCTTTGCGGCCGCCCCTGCTAATCGGTTGGGAGGATTCTCTCAGCTGTAATTATTTGAAGGCTCAACAGTGTTTCAGACTCGGATGGTTGGCACTTCTGGCAGTTGGCGAAAGCCGAGCTGCTGCGCAGGCGAGGGCGGTGAAACCGGTTTGGTATGGAGTCAAGGTGGTCAGGGTAGACTTCAGGACAATTGTTCATTGCACTGGTAGTCACTGGTACTGAAGTTGGTGCTCCAAGAGTTGACTTTTTTGGGGCATCAATCAACGCACAACCACAAAGGGTAGCCTAGGCTGCCTGAGTTCCATCTACTTTCGTACTAAAAGTTCACTGGGGGAGGGGTTGGTTCTTTCACTGAAGTACGGTCCAAAAGGAAAGGAATTCCTTGTTGGGAGGGCATCCTCAACCCCTTCAACTCCACCCCGGCCGCGCAAGTGGATACGCACTCAAAACAACATGACGTCGGAACAAACATACTGACGATGACTGGAACCGTTCCGCAAAATTACATTGTGTGTTCCCATTGTTTTTGGCGAGAGTCTTGGCATGTCTGATAGCAGATCAACGATTACTTGGCTGCCCGTCATTTAGCGTCCTTAATCAAGACCAATGAATCAAGATGTTCATTTGTCAGCATGTTGGGTTGCTCATCGCAGATATATGATTCGATTGCTAGCGTGTGCCCGGGGCCGGACTGAGCGGCTGGATGGTCTCTTGCCTTGACAGGGTTTACTTGGATTGTGCAAGGGCTCTGCAGCACATAGTGATGCTTTGGACATCTTTGGGCCTAGAATTTAAGTGCGAACATTTCTAGGCGTCAATCATGGTAGACTGTTTTTTTCCTTGCATTTGATTTGTGGTTGGTTACCACCATGCAGATGTGGTTTTAGTACGTTTTAGTTCTGGGCACGTATTGTTAATGGTTGCTAGCCGTTTGCTGTTTGTTGTGTTTGGGCCAGTCTTGGGCTTAGTCTGCTAGAGGCGGGAATGCCAGTCACAACCCACTCACGTCCATACCCTATGCACAGCACAGCCACATCCACACTATATGACTATATGTTAATAAAATGGGCTAGCGCCCGGGTGCCGCCGACCCCCTTTTTGTCCCTCTTCTGTGTGTATTCTAGCGGGTGATTAGGTCAATGGCATGATTTATTTAATGTTTTTTTTCTCTTAGACTGCCATTGCACCTGCCCATTAACCATGGAATTTCACCACGTGCATGTGGGGGTGTTTGGATGTAAAGGGCAGGCAAAGGGCAGGCTGCAACCCTGGAACAGCAAAGGCTGGCGGCCAGAGGGCTTGGTGGAAGTGGCGCGAGGGATCTGGAGGGTTTTAAGACTTTTAAGTGTTTGAAGCCTGGCAAACGAATGCCCCAACGGAGGGTTTTAAGGGTTTGAAGGCTGGCAAACGGCAGGCTTGAACGCCCTAACAACAGAGGACTATGTGCAGGCAAAGGGCAGGCTGCAACCCTGGAACAGCAAAGGCTGACGGCCAGAGGGCTTGGTGGAAGTGGCGCGAGGGATCTGGAGGGTTTTAAGAGTTTTAAGTGTTTGAAGCCTGGCAAACGCATGCCCCAACGGAGGGTTTTAAGGGTTTGAAGGCTGGCAAACGGCAGGCTTGAACGCCCTAACAACAGAGGACTATGTGCAGGCAAAGGGCAGGCTGCAACCCTGGAACAGCAAAGGCTGACGGCCAGAGGGCTTGGTGGAAGCTGCCGCGAGGGATCTGGAGGATCTGGAGGGTTTTAAGAGTTTTAAGTGTTTGAAGCCTGGCAAACGAATGCCCCAACGGAGGGTTTTAAGGGTTTGAAGGCTGGGGCAGGCTTGAACGAGCAGGCTTGAACGCCCTAACAAATCTGGAGGGTTTTAAGAGTTTAAGTGTTTGAAGCCTGGCAAACGATGCCCCAACGTGAGGGTTTTAAGGGTTTGAAGGCTGGCAACGGAAGGCTTGAAGCCCCACAACAGAGGCTGTGCAGGCAAAGGGCAGGCTGCAACCCTGGCCACAGCAGGGCTGACGGCCAGAGGGCTTGGAAAGCTGCGCGGGGGATGGGATTTGATTGGATCTGGAGGGTTTTAATCCCCTTTTAAGGGTTGAAGGCCTGGAAACCATGCCCCAACGGGCGGGTTGTTAAGGGGTTTGAAGGCTGGCAGACGGCAGGGCTTGAACGCCCTAACAACAGAGGACTATGTGCAGGCAAAGGGCAGGCTGCAACCCTGGAACAGCAAAGGCTGACGGCCAGAGGGCTTGGTGGAAGCTGCCGCGAGGGATCTGGAGGGTTTTAAGACTTTTAAGTGTTTGAAGCCTGGCAAACGAATGCCCCAACGGAGGGTTTTAAGGGTTTGAAGGCTGGCAAACGGCAGGCTTGAACGCCCTAACAACAGAGGACTATGTGCAGGCAAAGGGCACGCTGCAACCCTGGAACAGCAAAGGCTGACGGCTAGAGGGCTTGGTGGAAGCTGCCGCGAGGGATCTGGAGGGTTTTAAGACTTTTAAGTGCTTGAAGCCTGGCAAACGCATGCCCCAACGGAGGGTTTTAAGGGTTTGAAGGCTGGCAAACGGCAGGCTTGAACGCCCTAACAACAGAGGACTATCTGGAACAGCAAAGGCTGACGGCCAGAGGGCTTGGTGGAAGTGGCGCGAGGGATCTGGAGGGTTTTAAGACTTTTAAGTGTTTGAAGCCTGGCAAACGAATGCTCCAACGGAGGGTTTTAAGGGTTTGAAGGCTGGCAAACGGCAGGCTTGAACGCCCGAACAACAGAGGGCTATGTGCAGGCAAAGGGCAGGCTGCAACCTTGGAACAGCAAAGGCTGAGGGCTTGGTGGAAGCTGCCGCGAGGGATCTGGAGGGTTTTAAGACTTTTAAGTGGTTGAAGCCTGGCAAACGAATGCCCCAACGGAGGGTTTTAAGAGTTTGAAGGCTGGCAAACGGCAGGCTTGAACGCCCTAACAACAGAGGACTATGTGCAGGCAAAGGGCAGGCTGCAACCCTGGAACAGCAAAGGCTGATGGCCAGAGGGCTTGGTGGAAGCTGCCGCGAGGGATCTGGAGGGTTTTAAGACTTTTAAGTGTTTGAAGCCTGGCAAACCAATGCCCCAACGGAGGGTTTTAAGGGTTTGAAGGCTGGCAAACGGCAGGCTTGAACGCCCTAACAACAGAGGGGCTATGTGCAGGCAAAGGGCAGGCTGCAACCCTGGAACAGCAAAGGCTGACGGCCAGAGGGCTTGGTGGAAGCTGCCGCGAGGGATCTGGATGGATCTGGATGGATCTGGAGGGTTTTAAGAGTTTTAAGTGTTTGAAGCCTGGCAAACGAATGCCCCAACGGAGGGTTTTAAGGGTTTGAAGGCTGGCAAACGGCAGGCTTGAACGCCCTAACAACAGAGGGCTATGTGCAGGCAAAGGGCACGCCAATGCTGGAACAGCAAAGGTTGACGGCCAGAGGGCTTGCTAAAAGCTGCCGCAAGGGATTTGGAGGGTTTTAAGAGTTTGAAGGATTTGGAGCCTGGCAAACGGCAGGCTTGAACGCCCGAACAACAGAGGGCTATGTGCAGGCAAAGGGCAGGCTGCAACCCTGGAATGGAGGGTTTTAAGGGTAAGGGTGGGTTTTAAGGGTTTGAAGGCTGGCAAACGGCAGGCTTGAACGCCCTAACAACAGAGGCTATGTGCACCAAACGGCAGGTTGCAACGCTGGAACAGCAGAAGCTTACAGCCACAGGGCTTGGTGGAAGCCTTGGACAATGTGAAGGCCATGGCCGTGACAAAGCAGGTTCCACACCTCCGGTGGTCCCAGGCGCCGCCCCTGCCTTGGCGAAGGCCGGGGTCGGCGGATTTTTTCTTTTCTGAGAGCCAGTTAGTTGTGCGGTCACGCAAGTCCAGCTGAACAGTTTTGATTGGTGAGAAGCAGCGCTGGCTCATGTTCAGTCGTAGCTTCTAGACTGGTACATGAGGGGTGAAGGCATTTCTGCAAAAAGCCATGTGAGTTTTCTATTGCAAATGGCTTGCGAAGGTTGTTGTGATCGTCGGCAGCTTCAATTTTGTAATGTCATGCTCTTGCGTGGACAGGGCTTGCTTTGATTATCTAAAGGCTGCACTGTGGCAGGCCCCAGTGCAACGCAAAAAGCGAACTCCTGCCTGTCAAATTTGTCAAGTTGACCCATAGCTTTGCCACGAACGCGTTTGGCTGTCAGCCTGCCACCCAAACCGTGGTGCTCTAGGGCAGTCGTGGTTTTATCAGGTTGTAACAAATTCAAAACTTATCAAACTTCTTTACCATTGCGATCAGTGACTGCACGCACAGAGTGCACCAAGCACACTCTGCGAAGTCAGTGCCCAACGCAATCTGCAGTCACGGATTACCGGAGCATTGCGCGTTTCATTGCGTCACAGTTGTACACGTGTGTAAAACACTATATAGACTGATTGGTGGCCACCGGGCCGGATCGAATACGACGGGAAATGAAAACCAACCAAACCAGAAACATTGAGTGACATGTGACTCATATGACTACGAGTTTGGGGGGTTGTAGCTTTCATAGATTTTCACACAAAGGCCACAAAAGAAAGTGCAGGGATCCCTTGCATGTTTTCTCGTTTTTGTCTCAGTCATTGTTCGTGCCCCTCAGGTTGCAATACAACCAGTATCGACATGTATCGCTTGCATATGTGTCATAGGTATATGCACTATATGACCTATATGAGTTATATATTATTTGTAAACATGATATAACATAATTATGCCGTATATGAAGTCAGTGTGCGCAGATATTCAATATACACAGATATGATATATACGTCAGGCGGACCAGGTCAACATGCCAAGCAGGTCGCAAAAGACGAAGCATACACAGAAGAGTTGAAGCGAAGAAGAGAAGCCTGGACTTCAGTGCCGAACCAGTCATTGTTTGTTAGGTTGAGTATCGACAGTAGCCTTGAAGAAAAAATCGATGAGCTGCACATAACTGGCCTTCTCCTGCAGGCCCAATATGCTGAATTGGTCAGAGGGGCTCTACTCTCTGTGTTGGCCTCAAGTACTGATGCAGGCATCATGCGTTTACAGCGTCAATGGCATCATTTTGCTTTGTCTACATTCGACCAGTGGGCTAAGGGGTTTTCGTATCTTCTTTTCTCCATGTTTTTTTGTTCGCCGGAAAAAGGTTTGCTCGAGCCAGGAAAGTTAGCTAGCCTATCATGACTGTCCGAAATGCGCCATGGTGCAACATATGCGCTTCGCATGCTTTAGCTGTCAGTCTACTCTCAGGCCTGCATCATCTAGATCAGGGAGGGTGTTACCCGTTTGGTGGACAGTTTGTTGATGGAGATCGCCTGCAAGTCTCGGTATCCGGAGAGCTCTGCAAGTTCAACTTTCTGTGCTTTGCACACAAGAGAAGTAATACCCTTTCTATAGACTATAGACTTATGAGTCCAACAACACAGAGACTGTAGGGTTTTACACCAAAAAACAAAACAACACCAGAGCAAACAGAAAAAACAAGCCAGAAACCGAAAACAAAAAAGCAAGGACAAACATAAAAAGAACAAAAAACTGAGGAAAATCCAGGTTTTCATTTATTCCCCAACAGCTTATATAAACAAATGGAGTCTTCAGCCCAGAATAGCTCCGGTGTGCACTGGCGAAGGCGCTGGGTCAGGTTCAACCAGGTTCCGGAGAAGGTTCCGGAGAAGGTCTGGGAGGCTTTAGTGCAGAGCCAGGTCACGTTCAACAGGGTTCCGGAGAAGGTTCCGGAGAAGGTTCCGGAGAAGGTCTGGGAGGCCTTGGTGCAGAGCCAGGTCAGGTTCAACAGGGTTGCAGAGAAGGTTCCGGAGAAGGTTCCAGGAAGCATGCAAAGCCAAATCAGGTTCAACAGGGTTCCGGAGAAGGCTCCGAAGGTTCCGGAGAAGGTCTGGGAGGCTTTGGTGCAGAGCCAGATCAGGTTCAAAAAGGATTCTGGAGAAGGTTCCGGAGAAGGTTCCAGGAAGCCTTGAAGGTCTGGGAGGCTCCGGTGCAGAGCCAGGTCGGGTTCAACAGGGGTCCGGACCGGAGAAGGTTCCGGTGAAGGTCTGGGAGGCTTTGGTGCAGAGCCGGGTCACGAGGGCTCCGAAGAAGGTTCGGTGCAGAGTCAGGTTCAACAAAATTCCAGAGAAGGTTCCGGTGAAGGTCTGGGAGGCTTTGGTGCAGAGCCAGGTCAGGTTCAACAGGCTTCCGGAGAAGGTTCCGGAGACGGTTCTGGTCTGGAGAAGGTTCTGGGAGCTTTGGTGCAGAGCCACGTCAGGTTCAACAGGGTTTGGAGAAGGTTCCGGAGAAGGTCTGGGAGGCTTTGGTGCAGAGCCAGGTCAGGTTCAACAGGATTTGCGGCCATTTAACTCACGGAAACCGAGCTGAGGTGTTTCCAGCGCTTGGCTTCGCAGGCTTCAGAAAGGTATGTGAAAATCAAACGTTGCGGCTGTTGGGGATACTACCGAAGCTTATTTTTGTTTTTTGTCTGATTTTTTCTGGTGATTCTTCGAATCAGTTTTTTTGTTGTGAATCTGTTATTTCGGTTATTCCCCAACAGTAAATCTTTGCTATGGGGTCTTTAGCCGTGTGCGGTTCCGGAGGGTTCCGGTGCAGATACCTTGTGAGGTTCCGGAGGGTTCCGGTGCAGATACCTTGTGAGGTTCCGGAAGTTTCCGGTGCAGGTACTCGTAGGTTCTAGAGGGTTTTGGTGCAGGTACCTGGTGGGTTCCGGAAGTAGTTTCCGGTGCAGCTACCTGATGAGGTTCCGGAGGGTCTAGGTGAAGATGCGTGGTGAGGTTCCGGAGGGTTCCGGGGCAGATACCTTTGTGAGGCTCCGGAAGGTTGCGGCGCAGAGACCTTGTGAGGTTCCGGAGGGTTTTGGCGGAGAAGATGCTTGGTGAGGTTCCGGAGGGCTCCAGTGAGGTTCCGGAGGCTTCTCGTGCAGATGCTTTGTGAAATTCCAAAGGGTTCCGATTTAATTATGGCATAAGCATTTAATTTTTATGGCATGACCGCTTACTTTTTATGGCATAAGCACTTTTTATGGCAAAAACGCAGAAGCTTTCAAGCTGTTGGGGATAGCACCTGGGTGTATGTTTTTCCCCAAACAGTGTGGCCACACTGAGGGGTTCTTACGGCAACAGTTGAGGCCCGGTGTTCAATCGAGGTGGTGTCCTTAGCGTCCAGCATTTTCCCCGCAAATTTCCATACAAAATGGCTCTTGTGAAATGTCCATACGCATTTCGACTGCGCAGGCTCGCGCAAAATAGTGGCCCCGAGATCAGCGTCCGGCACTTTTCCGGTAACTTTCCACACAAAATGGCTCTTGTGAAATGTCCATGCGCATTTCGACTGCGCAGGCTCGCGCAAAAAGGGTGTCGCAGGATTAGCGTCCGGCACTTTTCCTGCATCTCTTACAGAAGTCTTTCCAAGAGACCTTTTATCGAAAGCTTGTACAGAGATCTTGCCAAGAGACCTCTTATGAAGATCTTGTTCAGGGATCTTGCCAAGAGACGTCTTACAGAGATTTTGCCAATAGAGCTTTTATAGACATCTTGTACAGAGATCTTGCCAGGAGACCTCTTATAGAGATCTTGTACAGAGACCTGGTGAAAGAGAGCAGCGATCTTTCTCAGATATTTTTGAAAAGAGTTTGAACAGAGATCTTACTTTGAGGTCCCTCACAGAGATCTTCTGTGGCAATCTCTTACAAAGAGATCTCTTTCAGAGTCTTGCCAGTAGACCTCTTAAAGAGATCTTGTACAGAGATCTTGCCAGGACACCTCTTTTGGAGATCTTGTGCAGAGACATGGCATAGAGATCTGTTGCAGAGATCTTACCAAAAGGTCTCTTACATAAATCTTGCCAAGAGAACTCTTCTAGAGAGCTTGTATAGGAGATTTCATAAAGAGATCTTGTGCAGAAACATTGCAAAGAGATTTGTTGAGATCTTGCCAAGACGCCCCTTGCAGAGATCTTGCCAAGAGACCTCTTATAGAGCTCTTGTACGGAGATCTTGCCAGGACACCTCTTCTGCAGACCTTGCGCAGAGACAGTGCCAACAGATCTCCATGATCTTGCCAAGGGTCTCTTACATACATCTTGCCAAGAGGGCTTTTATAGAGAGCTTGTACAGAGCTGAGAGATCTCGTTTAGATATCCTGGCCAGAGGTCTTGCCAAGAGACCTGTCGCCAAGTGCCACACCTGCCACGCAAAGTACCGCGGCGTCACGGGCGACTAACGGCGACCAAGCGCGCCACCAGACCCAGCCCAGTGCCAGAAGCGCCACGCCTGCCACGCAAAACGAAGGTGGATGTTCCCAAGTGCCAAGCGGCATGGCGTGTGACAAAGTTGTGTGTGAAAGATGGTGTGTGACAAAGTTGTGTGTGACAAAGTTGCGGGTGACAAAGAAGGGTGTGACAAAGCTGTGTGTGAAAGATGGCGTGTGACAAAGTTGTGTGTGAAAAGATGGTGTGTGACCAAGTTGTGCGTGAAAGATGGTGTGTGACAAAGTTGTGTGTGAAAGATGGTGTGTGACAAAGTTGTGTGTGAAAGATGGTGTGTGACAAAGTTGCGTGTGAAAGATGGTGTGTGACAAAGTTGTGTGTGAAAGATGGTGCGTGACAAAGTTGTGTGTGAAAGATGGTGTGTGACAAAGTTGTGTGTGAAAAGATGGTGTGTGACCAAGTTGTGCGTGAAAGATGGTGTGTGACAAAGTTGTTTGTGAAAGATGGTGCGTGACAAAGTTGTGTGTGAAAGATGGTGTGTGACAAAGTTGTGTGTGAAAAGATGGTGTGTGACCAAAAGATGGTGTGTGACCAAGTTGTGCGTGAAAGATGGTGTGTGACAAAGTTGTGTGTGAAAGATGGTGTGTGACAAAGTTGCGTGTGAAAGATTGTGTGTGACAAAGTTGTGTGTGAAAGATGGTGTGTGACAAAGTTGTGTGTGAAAGATCGTGTGTGACAAAGTTGCGTGTGAAAGATTGTGTGTGACAAACTTGTGTGTGAAAGATCGTGTGCGACAAAGTTGAGGGAGGCGGAGGCGGAGGCGGCGGGTCGGAGGCGGGACGGGATACAGAATCAAAAACAAGAACCCCACTCAGCTCTGAACTCAACTGTCCATGTTTAAAGGAAGTCTCGCAGATTTGCTTCGTTTTTGATGGTGCCAACTTCGAAATTTAAGGAAGTCTCGCAGTGTTGTTTTTACGTTGCCAAGTTCAAAAAAGTGAAGAAGAGAATCTCGCAGAATTGCTTCGTTTTGACGTTGCCAAGTTAAAACATTGAGGAAATGTTGCAGAATTGCTGCGCTTTCGATCTTGCAGATAGACAGATTGATTGTTAGACAGCTACAACTACGACTACGTCTACCACTACTACGACTACGACTACGACGTCGACGACTACTACTACAAATACAAATATACCACGCTACATTACGCTACGCTACGCTTATTACATCTAATTACACTACACTACACTACTTGCACAACAACAACAACAACAACAACAACAAGAACAACAACAAGAACAAGAACAAGAACAAGAACAACAACAAGAACAACAAGAACAACAAGAACAACAAGAACAACAAGAACAACAAGAACAACAACTACTACTACTCCTACTACTCCTACTACTCCTACTACTACTACTACTACTACTACTACCACAGCCGCAACTACAATTACAACTGCGCTGCATTACATTACGCTACGCTACGTTAGTTACACTGCAGCACGCTACAGCTACAAACGCAAATGCAAATACAAATGCAACTACACTACATTGCGCAACACTACGCTACACTACGCTACACTACACTAATCACATTACACTACACTACAAGTACAGCTACAACTACAACTGCAACTACAACTACAACTACCACTACAGTACAGTACACTACACTACACTAATTACACTACAACTGCAGCTACACTTACTTTACACTACACTACGCTAGACTAGACTATACTACACTTTGCCGCACTACACGAATTACACCACACCACAACTACAACTGCAACTGCAACTATACCACACTAAATTCACTACAATTGTAACTACAACAACAACTCCACTACACTACACTACACTACACTACAACTACAACTCCACTACGCTAGACTACAACTACAACTACAACTACAACTACAACTACAACTGCGTTACACCACACTACATCCAGCAGTTGTGGTGGGGTGACCACTGCAACCATTGCAACCACTCCAAAAACACAGCTCCAACCACCTTTCGGTCCATCAAAGGGTTCGCTCTGCCATCCGTGAATCACAACAACCAACCTCTCCAAAAGGTTTCCTATTTTTGAAACATCCGGTGCCGCTTTGTGCGGCGCTACTGGTATTTTGAAACTAATGCTAGGACTCAATGTTTGCAAAGTATATTGGCGGGAACACCCAGTGTGCATAGTGTTGCCGACCAGCACTTCTTGCCGATCTTGCAAATTGTTTGATATTGATGAGGCGGCCTTGAAAATATGGGACGTGGGAATTTCGACAAAAACACACCTTTTGATTACGATAAACTGACGATGAGGCTACTGCAATTACTATTTTTCTTTGGTGATGCAATACAGACTACCTTTTGATGAAGAGATTGCTCTTTGAAAGACCACTCGACACGGATCAGTTTTGAAATGTTTGTTGGCACTTCTATTGCATAACTCAACGCCTATGGCACACATGGCGCCTATATATACTTCTAAACTTGCAGACCTCTTCGTGAAGATTCCAAAGTGAGACCTGATTTTAGATGCACATTGTCCAACCTCAGTACATGCAGTGGATTGCCTGGGCAGACAGGATTTACAGCACTGCTTGATGGTTGCTTTGATGCAGGTCCGTGTGGGAAACAGCAGACCTTCGCTTCGCAAACCCAGAGAACGAAGTGGCCTTCTGCGAAGGATTGCAATCACAGTCGCTGCTGCTTGCTGCCCTTGCAGGCCAGTGAAATCCAATGATTTTTTTGCAGAGAGCCGAAGGTTCCAACATGTTCCGCACAGCGTTCCACAGTGTCCCAAAGCATTCCGCAAAGCGTGTCCGACACGAATGAAGAACTCCCCAGTTGAGCCCTTCAGAGGCTTGAGCTTTGCAGCCTTTCAGCTGGTAATCATCGCAATCCTGTTGGTGGACGAGGAGGGACTTCGTTGTTCGAGTGATGTGTGAAGTCTTGAAAAAGACTCAAAAAAATTGCACAAAGACCATTGCAGACCTGCTGACCTCGCGCCGTGTTCAATTTTTGTCATTTGCTATGGATATTAGCCGGAAAGACAGCACAGAGTTCTGTAGGTTCTGTTGAATTTGGAGCCTGCAGGAAACGCTCAGAGAAGATGTTCTTAGTGGAGTCTACTCCATTCACTTCTTGCTGCTTCCTGTGCTGAGCTGAGCAACTTTCGGCATGGAGTTGACGAAGTTGCCAGTACTCATTTAAATCAAAACAGTTCAAAACAGTTTGTTCATGAACTTAGACGATTTAGACGTGTATCAGAAGTGTATCCTCTGGCTTTCACCCGGACCTGAGGCCATCGCAGCAGCATCTATTGGTATAGTCAGTGTCGGGAGCCTTGTCAAAGAAATCACAAGGTGGGAACTTCTATCATCTTCTATCACCGTTCTTTCATATTCTTTCTCCACTTATCCTGTAAAATCCTGTAGACCAGAGGTAATACAAACGCTATGAAGTCCAAATTCCTCCATGGGTTCATATTTTAGTTGTAGATCATTTCAGATATAGTCTCGCTCAATGTCACTTATATAGTACCGAACACACTCACGACTGTCAGACCTGTCTTGCTTCGATTCGTTGCGCCTTTTGCACCCTTTGGAGGCGCTCCTGCGTGCTGTTAGAACCGCTATGGGCCTTTGCTATTGCTATCAATATCATTGCAAGGGGCTCAGTATCGCGTTGTGATGAAAGTAAGGATCCAATCCTTAAGGAATGATGAACATGAGTGCAACATCATCTAAGTGATCCAAGAAACTATTTTTGAAGGTTGGATTTTTTCAGTCACGAGCTGGGCGATCATTGCTCGGTGGAAGGCCAGCAGTCTTGATCTTGCACGAACATCATACTTGCAATGATTAATCATTTTCTGTACAATGTGTGCAGTACCTGCAATGAATCGAACATCTACATGCAATGTGTACCAGGACCCTCTCTGGGACTCTCTCTGGCTGCATGGATGACCGGATTGATCTCGAAATCTCTGCAGTTCTTCTGACCGTTTGCAGCTCAGCCTAGTGGCCTAGTGGCCTAGTGGCCTAGTGCGTTGGCCTGAGTGAATCAGCATCCTTCGTTTCGTTTCACAAAGGCCTTGGTTTCGATTTGTTGTCACTGTCACCTTCCACGATGCTGCTACCTTTGGCTATTGGTGGGACTGGCAATGGTGTCTTTCGTTATCCAGGTGCGCACGTGAAACTAAAAGCTGCGTGCATTGCAATGTGGTGCTCTGTGCAGATATCAGGATACGTCGGATACGTCGGATACGTCATATTTCGATTCTGATCTCGATGTGTCGCAGGCTTTCGGCACCGTATGTGAGTTTTCGAAAGCTCAAGGCCTTGTATCCCTTGTATGGTCGAGACATGTCGAGACAATCACTTCCCTGCTACAGTAATATGTTTTGTCGGACAGGACTTGCACCTCGGCTCCTAAATATTGGCATGATGTTTTTTCTCCTGACCACTTCATACAGCCCGATTCTCAGATCAGGTTAGAGAGAGGGTAGCTTGGCTGATAGGGTCATACATAATATGTCATAATCCTCACAGTCCTGAGAAAACTCAGGTGCAGCTCATAGGCTGGAGAAGAAGCACCGCGAGGGATGGCTGCGAACTTCCCCTCAGGCCATTCGAGTGCCAGAAACATACTGAAACATGAACATATCAATCAAACTCCGGAGTGAACTATTCCCGGAACTACGAGTGAACTATTCTCAATTGCAGTTTTTCCAAAGCAAAGACTACCCTCTGCAGGAGCAAATCGTCCGTGAGGCGCATCACAACATGGGAGTGGGGACTATCAAAGTGAAAGTTAAAAACAAAGCTTAGTACGGTTCACTAGAAGCCAACGCAGCCAATGTTGTGACTTCCAGGTCAGAATAAGAGGGAACTCTCGGGGGTCAAAGCTCTGAATATGGTGAAACCAGACACCCAAAGCACCGAATGACACCCGGGCTGCAAATGCACATGTTACAAATTGCTACAATGCGTTTTACACATTTTCACACATCGTTTGAAGATTGGATCGAATGTCTTTCACTTTGTGTTTCATGGCGAGCGATTTTGTTTTGGAAACAAATTTGATGCCGAAGGCCTTGGCCCGGAAAGAGCTCGGGAAGGCACGGTGCAGTGCAGTGCAGGGCCTTGGGGCTATGCGATGCCAGATCTGCCCCCTGCTCGTTCGCCTCTGCCCTTTGCAGATTTTGCAGATTTTGCAGATGTTTTTTTTTCTGTTTTATTTGCTGCACAGTCCCATCTGTCCTACAGTCTGTGCCAGATTGCCTTGGCACGCGACCTCAAAATCTTCAGATTGTATGGCTGCTGCCTTGTCTTTGGCCTATTTCAGGACTTTTCAAGACGGTGTCAAGTCTTGGACACTTGTCCCTGACGTGTGCAAGCCATATCTCCATGCCACCTCCATACATTCTGATGCTTTCAGCCTTTGAGCATCTTTAAGCATTTTAAGTGTCGAGATGTGTCGAGTTTTCAAGTTTCCAGTTTCAGGACTTCCGAATCAGCAGGGGTGCTTCCCGCACTGCTCGAACTTTGTTTGGTGCTGCAGTGACTGGGAAAAGCTTCCTCTCTTTTGTCGCCGAGGAGAACAGGCAAGTACAGGGTTCCCTGATGTTCCCTGATGTTCCCTGATGTTCCCTGATGTTCCCTGATGTTCCCTGATGTTCCCTGATGTTCCCTGCTAAGTTGTAAAATCCTCATTCCGAGATTCCTTAAGGCTTTCTTAAGGGTCCATGAAGTTAGTAGGAGCTTGTCATAGCAACGCAGCATGTGGCTGCGATCCTCATTTCCTTAAGGGTCCTTGAAGCCACTTGTATGGTCATGTAGTCATGTGGTCCCAGCTGCCATTGCGCAGGGAAGAGTTCTCTGCATTTTGCCAGCGTAGTGCCAATGCCTCAGCAAAGCAAACGCATCGTGGTAGAGGCTTTACCGTTCCAATGCACTGCTCCCTGCTTGTGGTAGCAATCCATCCTTAGACAATGTAAACATCCTGCTGGTACTACTGGTCCTTCCTTTTCCACAAGAGAACTAAGAAGTGCAGACATCCAGGACATCCACATTTTCCCCTCCGCCACCACAGCCATCACGACCATCACTGCAAGCATCCGAAACGGTTGCCACAACTCAGGACAACCATGTCAACCACAACAACCAATTAGATCAATCAAGCATTTGATGAGCACATAACCCACCCTGACTCTTTTGAATAGGGAAACATGTGCGAAATGGTTCAATTGTTGATAGATCCATCTTGCAAATACGGGGATGGATGGGTCGAAAAGGGACAGTAACACTCATTCTACGTTTTACTACTAAAGAATCTAAAGACAATCAAAATCAGTGGGCCCCAGTGCCTCAACTGTTGACCCGTTCCTATGCGGTAAAATTTGAAGCTTTTTCCAAATTTGCATTTCAGTTGCTGCCAAAAATGCCTAAGGATGGGTCCAGGATTCCCAAAAGCATGGGGCTGAAGTTGATAGTCCAGGACAGATCAAAGTTAGCATAGTCGCCCAGACCTGCCTATCCTTGCCGTCTTCCTAAATCCGCAAGGATGCATTGGAGCCTGCTCATGTGTTGGTCATTCACCATGGTCGTCATAGAAGTACCCTGGATTGCAGCTGAGAGATCCTAGATTGGAATGATTACTGTAGAACCTAGATGATCGCAGAATCACAGACTAGATCAAGCATGATTATATAATCCCTATTAACCACAACTGCACGTGCATAGATTGGCCTAGATGTGAACGACTGACAAATGCGCTGGACATTTCACAAGCTGCCAAGATTTTTGAAGCTCCTCTGGGTTGCGACGCTAGGCAAAGAATTCTTGATGGGCATCAGGCGCGGAGACGACAGCTCAATCTGTCCATCACAAAGTGTGTTGGATATGTAAATTCAGCGGACAGATGACACCTCTCTGCACAATTACTGTAGTGTGTTGGATAGTGTATTGAAAGATATTGAAAATAGAAAATACCCAAAGCTAAGGGTAGTTCGAAAGACGGCCCGGAGCAGCGACATGCAACGAAATGTTTGAATCCTTCTCTCGCTCCCTCACTCCGGAAACGAGGTGTTTTTAAAGTCCAGTTTCCCGGTTTGCCATTGTGAGTGATGAAATATGTCTAAGACCGTGCTAAGACTGCGTATAGTGAATATTTTCGGTGGCTAATAAATTTGGATGAGATTTGCATAGATTTGCAAAGGGCCGGGGGATGAGCAGATCGCAGATGCGCAGGCTAAACACTGGCTTGGAGGACTGAGAATCCGACGCGTGCGATGTAACGAATAGACGGACTGAGCAGAAATGCAAAATAGATCGAATTTCGGTTGAACTAGGCAATCGATTCAATCAGCTTTGTCTCTGCCCGTCAACAAAGAAAAGTCAACCATCTTCCAGGACCTTAGACTCAAAATGCCAGAGAAGGAAAAGAGCAATTTCCAGCACCCGATTGTTCCTGTCGCCTCTACCGACTACATTGAACCTTTTGAACTGGAGCATCCAGATACTTGGATGCAGCTTATGGTCAATCCCACAAACCCATCAGATCACGGGGCCGATTTGTGTTGCAACGGACTTTATAGAATGCCATTGACACTTTGATCTTTTTGGTTCTCAGTGGGTTGGCATTTTTTTTTTTTATATAAATCTTTTTGGTAGTTCTCAGATTGTTGGTTTGGCTCCGGTGATTTCACGCAAACCGTATCTCAGAACTTCTCAGAACCATCTACATTTGACGTCAGGACAAACGCCTGCCAATGATGCAAGATGATGAGCCTGCGACTATAAAGAGTGCAAGGATCAAAATGGCTTACAGGGCAGTCGCGAGATAAATCATCTCTCAAGTCTGTAGTGCGGCAGTGAGGTTAAGTAATTTTCCAAAAAATCGAAGCGACTTTTAAGCGCCTTTTCCTATTCAAATTTTCTCCACATCTTGTCGAAGGAGCTCGGACTATTCTGGCTTCAGCAGCGGTGGCAGCTCTGCAAGTCTTTGCTTCTCTGAATCACAAGATGGAAGTTCAGGCCACTTAATGGCATCAGACCGGAAGATGTCATGGCGTTTCTGACTGAAATCCATTGCTCTCTCTCTCTCTCTATCACACACACAGACAGACAGAGACACACACACACACACTTGTCAAATCTTGTCAAGAATCCGCACTAAAATGTCCAGAATAGTCCCCAATCTTGCAAGACTAAGACGGAGTAGACAGTGAAGAGACACAGCAGACAAAAGCTGCGCAAAAAAGCACGACTATCCAAAGAAATGTGGGAAATATATAGACATATGTGACTTTATCAGAAATATCAACAAAAGATGAAGAGAGATGAGTAGAGTATATACCGAGGAGCAAGACTGGAGGTATATCCGCACAGAACGCTGGATGAGTCTTTGTTGGCCAGACTCAGTAACCCTTGGGTCCTCTACACTGTGAGCAGCGCGCTCCCACGACCAAATTACTCGTAGCTAAAGTGATCCACTACCATACCCTCCCAGAAGCTGAAACAGCAGGCACTGAAGTGCTTTGCAAGGTGTTGCAGAAGCTAATATAAGATAATATAAGAATATATAAGATAGTATAAGTATTCTCAGTCCCTTGTCGGAGGCTCCGTGGAAGCGCCTGAGAATACTCAAACGAAAAAGTAGCTTCTGCGCAAGCCGTGAGAACTGTCAACAATGAACCCAATCAGCGGAAGCGTGGCGGAAACTCTGGCGGAAGAGAGTGGGAGTGGACAGGAATTTCCAGACTGTTTTGACGACTGCATGAGTTTTACTCCTATGAAGAAGATTCGCGGACACTGAAGGCTAGCTGCATGAAACAAGCAAAGAAAGTCAACCACAAAACACGAAGGACAACATAGGACAACAAACGGGGAACTTAGTGCGGGGAACTTAGTGGTAGCACCCCAAACACACACACAGACACCCGTGAGCAGGACAGATGGAGAAAGCCACGGAGGAAAACACACACTAGCCACAAACATAGCCACAAACATAAACGATGGGGACATATGGGGACTGTTCGCTGAAGTGCATGGAATCATCACAACCCCAGAAGCCTCCCTTGTCGGTTGCAACCTTGCCGGCAGCTTTCAAGTTCCAGTGAATTGCAGCAACACACAAACAACTTCACGAAGATGACAAATGACCGGCTGAAGGAGAGAGCCTACCTTGTTACCTTGTCATTCCATGCTGTATTACTTCTCTTGCTTGGATGGAAAGCAGGTCTTGAAACTTCCATTGCCCTGGCAATGGTGTTCCTAGGCTCTGTCCTGGCCGCGCCAGTAGTTGATGGACATGACTGTGACATGACCATCATGACCCCCTTCAATTCAGAATTCCAGACTGTTGAACCAGGCCAAACAGCTTACAGTACTGCGGTGAAGTCCCTCTTATTTCGACAGCGGGTTATAACATGTAAAAAATACAGGCGTCAGACCAGTAATCCACGCTTCCTATCGCTTCCTGACAGGGCCAACAATGGCTTGCTGCATTGCCGCTGCACCTAAATCACGTGTCACTACCATCTATATAAACATCCACAATTGCCTTTTTTAGTGGCCGGCCATCCCAGCGACGGCCCGGCAACGGCCACCAGCCCACCCGGCCACCTGGCCACCCAGCCACCCGGCCGGCCCACCCGGCCACGGCCAGCAAGACAAGCCGGCCAGACAGTCGGCCACGGCCACGGCCACGGCCACGGCCATGCACGAAAAAAAACAATCCTTCTAAACATCCGCATAAGCATGCTGTGTGTAATGCATGTGATGCACGTGATGCATGCGATGCACGTGATGTGCTTCTAGCTTCGACTTCTGCCCAGACTGCAGGCACACTTGGAATCACTTGGATAGGTCACGAAAGGTAGCGTCAGCTACCTGAGTTCTCCGTGCTTCAGCACAATCATAGGGGGTATTGGGGGGCCAGCCCGTGGAAAACGTAGACTTCTCGACGTTATGTATTAGATATCAATTATAAGGGCCCCCCCCTCTAAAATGGTCATGGGTTCAATTCCCACGGGTGACGCGGTCACGGTCCGCCACAGTAGAGGCACACTCTCCATGAGGGAGATGTCCCTGTAGTCCAGCATAATTGGTTTGCTTCAGCCTCAATAACAGTTGCTGCAAGGGGTCTTAAAAAGGGGTTTTTAATAAACCCCTTTTCGTGCATCATTTCACGCTGCACAAGACACCGTATCATGCAGTCATGCTCTGGATAAAATCATCTTAGACTGCGCAAAAACGTTTTTGGTGTAATCATCTTAGGGGCGCAGCATTTTGACACCACTCCCTCCCACTACACTACCTTTCGTCCGCCTCCGCCTGCTCTCAAGTCTTCGCTGGCGCCATCTTACGGATACCCAATGATGCATTGATGCTCTGCACAAAGAGGGCCCGTGTGATTCCCCTGTGAGGCTTCAGCCAAGTCTTGTCACGCCGAGATCAGAGAACACAGACCGATGCATTCCTATGTCAGACTGACCAGTGCGCACTGCTCTCAGCTCTTCAGAACGGACTTCTTATCATTTATTATCATTTACATATATATATATATTATCGCATGATTCAACTGGATTGTATGATATTGTATGACATTGTATACTGTATCCAGTAACCACATCATGCTCTTTACCAAATGAAACCAAGGTGGAGACAGTAGTTCCCTGGAAGGACGTGGGGTTTCGGTGTAAATGCTCCAATCGCGCTCCAAAACCTCTGTCTGAAGAAAGAAGAGCTGCTATTGCCTGCCGCGATTTCCGGCCACGAAGGAGGGATGAAGTCGGATGCAGTCGGATGCAGTCGGATGAAGCATGATCTGGTTTTGGAATGTTTTGGAATGTTTTGGAACATGGCGAGATATATGGAGAGATATTAAAGTTCAGGAGAGCTGAGGACCCAGGAGATCGGACCCAAACCGACCCTCAAGTACCAAGAGCTGGTTCGAATATGTTCGAATGCTCAACATGACCAACATGAGCTGATGAGTTTCTGCTGAAAGTGAACCATGTGAACCTGGATACTACCTATCAGGGTACTGTCAACGTAGCATGTCCCCATGACATTCCGACGCGAGGCAGAAACGCAAAGTCTCTTCTTCTCTTGAGGCCATGTCTGGAACCTGGGCTCCTTGGTTCATGTTGGCATAGGGTCATGATGGGTCATGGCAATGGCAGACATCGAATGACTTGATCTATCTTGATCTATATCCAGAATCCGCAGAGGGCTACACCAAGATGCTCAAACAAGTTCAATCTCTTGTTCCGGGATTTCTGTCACAAGACAAGCAACAACTTGCCAAAGAGTCTCATCTGTGTGGCTCGTGATCTGTAAGTGTTTTGGATTGCAAGATTGGGGCTCACAAATTTCAACTGCGAGTAGCTGGGATTAAGCCATTAAGCTTTAATCTACAGCTGTGAGACTGGCACAAACCCTGAGAACATGAGATCACCGTTGTCTGAGACTAAGGCTCTTGAATCCCAGTTCATTGGCATTGCCCAAAGCTTTATGCATCGCTTGACGTTTGTGGGCAACAGGTGGATAGACAAAATCCACAACACGCTTTCCTCACCTGACTTTTTCATCAAAGCGGGGGCACGACGTTGATGTATGGTTCCGCAAAAAGTCAGTTTTCAAGATCTTAGTCGGTCTTAGTCCCTTCTCTTGTTTGCAAAAAAGGCGGTGGATCATGGTTTTGCAATGACTGGAGTTTCCGGGAGGTGCATTGATGCACGCGGACAGAAGTGGAAAGTGACACAAGAGGGCAACGACTTTTTCCTGATCAAGGGACGGATTTGGACAAGTGGCGGCGTGCTCTTCCGGGAGGGAAAGTCTGGCATTGCAGGGCGCTCGGTTGTCCAACTTGAGAAAGACACAGTATCCGAAATGTTGTGCTGTACCTGCTATGCTTTCACTTCTGCATGTTGCGGTTGGTTTGTGCAATGTTGCTTCTCTTCAGCGATATTCCATGAGGTGATGCGTTTCCAACCAGAGGAGGAGGAGGCTCTGGAAAAGTGGAAAGTAGTTCTTGTGCAAAGTACTTCCTGTTTCAGAAAACGATCGGCACAGCAACGTGCTTCGCAGATCTTCGCAGCTTATGCAGTGCACTTTGTCTTCTCATTCTTCAAATCGGGGCTCCTGGGCTCAGGAGGAAGCGGACCCATTTGAGTTCGCCGAGGTGCCTCTTCATGAAAAAGAGACGGTACTTCTCAGACAATTTCCAAAATGCGTAGCAAAAGGTCTGAGGTGTCTACAGTCTAGAGATGTCTAGAGTTTAGTTAGACTGAACAACAGTGACAGTTCAGAGAATTCCATAGCGAAGTGCCTCTTTCGTTGAGTTGGGGGACAAGGCACTTGGAGTTTTGGTGGGATGACAATAGCTGCAAGTCGCTGCAAGTTAAATGATTCTCACTTCTGAAATCAAGCAGGTGGGTAGCTTTGGCGTTCCCAGGTGTTGTCGAGCTTGTGCTACGTTCCCTGTCTTCTTGTAGGTCTTGTTTTTGGTCCTTTGTCTTCTTTTTTGTGGGGACGCGACGTCGCGGCTAATAAGCAAACAGGGATGCTGTAAGCGTGCTCACGTAGAATCATAGTATACAATTTATACAATATACACAAGAAGCCAACTTGTGCGTACAGAAAGTATCAGAAAGTATTGGCTGTATTTGGGATTTTGGCCAATGTTAGCCAATGTTGGCTGCCAGTTGGCCTTTGACCTCCAGGATCCGGATTTGAATTTTGAAGAGGACGAGCAGGCCGACAGACAAGCTGTGTCATCCCTTCAAGTTTATGTACCTTTTAGATCCTTTAGATCCTTTAGATGCTTCAGGATATACCGTGATATACCTTTTGGACACTGCATGATCTAAAGTGCTGGTCTTGGAGTCTTGCCATGTGCTTCAGGATGGCCTCAAAGTTCTGGAGAACATTCTGTCTGATGGCTACTTCACGAGTTTGACAACAGATCATTGATATGCCTGATATGCCCTGTACCGAAAACCTGGATACCGGGCATGATCAAGCCCAAGAGAGAGAAATGAAGGAGAACCTGGAAGGAAAAATCATCAGTGTACTCAATACATCTCAGATCATCTCAGTACAAAACATTCAGTTGAGTTCACTGCCACCCTGTGCCACCCTGTGCCACCCTGTGCCACCTTCCATTTGCTCCTTTCATCTCAGATTTTCTTGTTTTCAACATTTTCACAATGCTAGTGTTTCACATCACATCCAGCAAGGAGGACCTTAGCTGGTCTCCTTGTCATGGTTCCAAAAGGCAGCGACTGCTCGCATGCAGTCTCCCAAAAAGAATCGATTCGATGGGCAGAAGGGTTGTTGAGTCGTTGAGACCGCGACAAAAGCTGGAAAGATGTAGATCCGCAATCGGCAGGTTTCCAGGAGCAAAATAGAGCTAAGATTTGCTAAGATCTGCAGGTATTTTGAAGGTATTGTCGGTATTGTCCTGTCATGTCCTGTCCCAGTGAAGCCAGAACTGCAAAGGCACGCCCTTTGCTGCGAGACGCTGGTCGCCTCTATAAGGCGCCCCCGCCTTGATGCAGAGATGCAGCGTTTAGAGCATTGGTGCATCGTGTACATGCTGCATGGAGCATGTCGTTTCCTTCATTTCCAGCGATTTCTTTCGCCAATGCTAGGCTGAACGGGAATCCAGCCCAAAGATGAACCTTTTGGACAAGGAGGAGAATGGACTAGCGATGAGTCGATGAGGAATGTTTTGAACACTTGGAACTCGCCTGGGAACGAGAGGAGGTTTCTACAATTTCTACTAAAGAATTCTGTTTCCTGGTCCCTCCCGGGTCCCTCCCTCCACCTGTTCCCTGTGCCACTGTAGTAATGCTGGTCCAATCTGATCTGTCAATCGGAGGAGGTCCAATATGGTCTGCACGAATCGAATCTAATGTTGCCAGAACCATCCAGAACCTACTATATCTTTTCTACTTCAGATCAACATAGGTAGCATATGGTAGCATAGGCTAATCTCATTTTGGTTCTTTTCTTTTTCTTCAATTTTTTTGAGTCGCGGACAGTATTTAGAATTCACATCATTGAGGGGGTGTTCCTACCTTGTTTTCCATTCCCGGACCTCGTTTTGCCTGCCTCGTTCTCGATTCTCGAGGTGTTCCTACCTCGTTTTGCAAGCTAAATTTTGTATTTCCGAGGTTACGCGCCAATACTACTCTTCACTTACCAAGTAAAAGCCGTCACTCAATCAATATCCATAATATACAATAAATGAATAATATATAATGCCTTGTCAGGCATGTCTTCTTAAGTCTAACTTGTCCAATTATATGTCCAGTTACCATGTGCTGCTATATCAAATCTGCCTATATAAATACCTAGACATACACTGTATTGGTACCTATCTACCTTTCCATCTCTTTTTCTATCCAGCTAGCGATCCTCTTGAAAGAGCCTCTTCGACTCCATTCACTCATTCGCTTCCTATTGCTGAGATGCTCAGACCGAGATGGTTGAGGGGTCGGGGTCAGGCTCTGCGGGCTCGCAGGAGGAATGGCAGCTGGCCTTGGAATGCTGTGAGATTCTGACCTTTGAACTAGAGGACTGAATATGGCAAATCTGTGCGAATCTGTGCAATGTGTTTAACTGTTCGGAATTAAAGACGACAGCTCTGCATTTGCAACATCGTGTAGAGTACGACACTCTGCTACTCTGAAATTCACTTCTCAATGTTTACTACTTGTAGGCAGGATTTGCATTCGTTTCTGACCTCCAAGAGCCATCCCATTTTTTGTGCTGTGAAAGCTTTTTTCTTGGCGGTTGCTTTGTGAGACTTCACAGGCAGAGGTGTGCCATATGTTGGAAAGTCCTGCAGACGAGGTCCCGAATCATCAAGCAAACATGACAGCCAAGGATGACGATATATACAGAGGGGGCAAACATTCTGAAAGAATAGTCAAAAGAAAGGTGGAACAGGTAGAGGTAGGGAAGAGAGTGCAGAATGCCCATCTTAGACTCCGCACAGAACTCAGTTGGCTCAGTTGGCATTAGGTCAAGAAGATCTTGCTGAAGGCAGTCCAGCACAGTCTCAGAGTGCAGGTGCGGTGCAACTTCCAGACTTGTGTCTTTAAAAAAGATAAAGGAAGAGACCGTTTGCAACATTTAACTATGTATCTACTATATAGATATATGATATATGATATATGTATGTAATGTATTGTTCTGTATTGTTCTGTATTGTAATGTATTGTAATGTAGTATGCATACACATACACATGTGTTTACATTTATGACCTGTTTCAACTGCTTCCGGGCCACACATTTTGCAACTTCTATTGCTTCTTTAAGAAATCACCGAGTCTGTTTGTCCTATGAGCGGCAGGCCAACCAGCAGGATCCACTATCCATGATGTGAGAAGACGAAGCAGAAACTACCAGCTAGCAACAGCTAAAACAGCTAAAACAGTATAGGCTCAGTATAGGATCAAACAAGATTGGTTGGGTCTCTTGGACTCTTGGATCTCTTCTCATCCTATTCTGATCTCTTCTTTTATTTTCTTCGGTGCAGGCTTCCCCTGCCGCCACAACTCGCTTACAGCGGCTGGTCTTCGGGCTTCGTCGCAGGACTGGTTGCCACACAGACACGAGCTGACAGGGAGTGCAAACACAACCACAGCAATGGAAAACTCAAATGAAGATATAAGATGATATAAGATGATATAAGTACAAACAACTTTAAGTAGACACTGTCCAATTGAATTTTACAACATTGTCTTACACCATACACTGTCGCAATGCATCACACTACCAGACAGTTATTACATTGCACCACGGAAACCCAAGTCCAGATTTGTCGGCATTTTGATCAGAATATACTTGACTCCGAAAGTGGTTCCTGCCGAAACCAAGAATTCAATACAAGTTGCTTCGCTCCGCGAAGAAAAAGACAAAAGGGGAAATGTGACCGACAAAACCAGCAAGGATCATGAATCCTGCTTGAAGGTCTTGTGTTGTTGTCCAAGAAGTGGGCCCCGTAAATCACGAAATGAGGGTCGATCGACAAAAACTGAGGTAAAATTGCGATGTTTCGTGTGCTGGAGTAACTCTTTCGCACGACACGAGCCACGGGTTGGGATTCACGCCCCAGGTGACGAGAAGTGCTAGAATCTAGCTGGTTCTAAAAAAAAGACAAAGATTGACCACTGCGAAAATAGCCGGAGTCCAAGATTTGGTGTGACAAGTTTATCTTTCAACCTGGTATCAAACTCGTAGAGCTGAGCTTGCGATCAAGAGTCAAGCTTGTCACGATGTGCAAGAAACACAGAGACAAGATCAGTTGCTCTTATGTGCTCCTAACGAAACTCTTAATCTAGTGAAAACTTGTCCACTCCTGAATCTAGTGAAAACTTGTCCACTCCGAAACTCGGCAAAACCATGTACAAACGAATTTCAGAGATAGTTGATGGATGCTGATGGGCATTAGCAAACCAGTCAAGAAATGATAGGAAACGTACATGAACAGCAGGGATCTTTGCAATGTCTTGGCAGATCTGCGCAGGCTCTTGGACAAAGCTTGTCCGAACGAAGACGCTACCTGAGAAAAAGATAACTTCCGAGAAGATAGACAGAGCACAAATTATGCACAGTTGTAGCAGGCTCCAAGCTTGCATTGTTGATCCCACACATCTCATTGAGTTACTTCTCGTTGCTGCGGTATCCTCTCCCTCCTACACAAATTTTAATATACCGTACTAATATACTAAAAAACTAATATACTATATACTATATATATAAACATATATATATATACACATACATACATGTTACACATGCAGTATATTACTGCATATGATTCATGTGTTCTGTGTATGCATGTGTGTGTGAACATGGGGTTCCCCAAAATATCATCATCATCATCATCATCACCATCACCATCACCATCACCACCAGCACCAGCACCCTCACCACCACCACCACCACCACCAGCATCATCATCATCATCATCATCACCATCATCACCATCATCACCATCATCACCATCATCACCATCATCATCATCATCATCAGACATTATTTTTTCAAATATGGAACATGATGATCAACAACTGTTTTTTTGGCTGCATTTTCAGACGTACCTGTATGGCCGTTTTGTTTGTATATGCTATATATATAGAGTATATAGATACCAAGATTGCAGACATCGAACATTTGCACTTTTTATTGTCTCATCATATCATACTTGACTTTGCAGCTTTTGGGCCCAAACAACTAGCCAGATATGTTTTTCCAAGGTGCAGCAAGTCAATTTCCCGAGTCATTCCCAATGGAAAGCAAGACATGTGGCATAGTACGCAACACCAGCAACTGCTGTGCTTGGGGTCAAAGCCTCTTGGAGTAAAGCCTCTTGCAATATTGTAGAGCTTGTAGACTCAAAGCAAGCACAAATCTTGCATGGACACAAAACAAGTCAATGCACCGTGGCTGAATGTAATTTCTAGATGTTTCCAGCTGCAAAGTTTTGTGTCAAACATCGGTCAAAATACAATTGTCAAAGCGGACATCTTTTGGATCCAAAGGTACAGCTGAGTCCAAGTTGAGAACTCTTGATCAATTGACACCCTTCATTCATGATCATCATTATTCACCGCAGCATCAGTCATGATTCATGGATTCATGGATGCTTAGATAGTTAAGTTAGATATTGATAGCATGTGATAATGCAGCTGATTCATGCTGATTCTTCGTTTACGAAACCCGAAGCTATGTGGCATGGGGCAGTGATGGAAATGCACAGCCTTTTGGTTTTCTGGCCGAACGCCCATGACGAAGCTAACATGATCTAAGGAGCTTGATGACCACACAGTGTTACTTTATGTTACTTTGAGAACAGTGTGTGTCCTCCACTTATTTAAGAGGCATACCCGAAATATCTAAAACGTTGCAGCAGAGTTTAGATTTGATTTAGATTCTAAAGGAGTTCGTTTTGGCACCAAACTGCATCCATGAGTATTGCTGAGATGCTGTTGGTCGAGGTAGGACTGCTGAAGGAAAGACCCCTAAAACTGCAGCAAAGTAAGAGGATCATGTTTGGATTGTGTCTCCGAGGTGGATTGCCTGATTGCCTTGACCCTGTTTGCGGGGATCTCGCAGATTTGTCTTTGGCTGCTCAAAGTTGACGAAGATCAGGATTTACGAGCAAATCATGATAGTTTCATAGGAGATGATAGGAGTATTCAAAAAGGATCTTGAAGATGTTGAGGGCTGCCAGGACGATGCATGAGACCAGAAAATACTTTTCCCTGTTTATTTTTTTACAAAGCTGACTTGATGCTCCTTCCAAGCGATACTGCGGGAGTATGAAACAATCTGCAGTATGTTGCTAAGTCACCTCAGGTAAGATTTGGTAAGATACCTTTCCCATCCTTTTCCAGTGTCCAGTGTCCAGGGACTCCAGTGTCCAGTTTCCACCCATTGCCCAAGGGGCCTCTGAGATGCTGAGTCCATTGCCTCCGCTGCGGAGATAGCGCGTGGAGGCTGCTGGGTGTCACAAGACCTTTCTTATACAGTATAACTCATAGTATATATATACACTATACATAATATATATAATATACTATACATAATATATATATATATATTATATAATATATATATACTATACATAATATATATATATAATATACTATACATAATATATATAATATACTATACATATATATATATATACTATACATAATATATATATATATATGTATAATATATATATATATATATATGCTATAACAAAATCTCATAATCCGAATACTTGAAAGTTATTGTCTCCTCATCCCTCTCTCTGTCTTCTCATTGATCTTGCTGACGTTTACTTTTTGATGCTTTGAATGCTTTGCAATTGTTACGGTGATGGTCGCCTCGAAGAGGGACTTGAAACTCCTTGGAAACTCCTTGGACAGTCAGCATTTTTCAACCGACCCTATGACTGAAATGAAATTCCGGAGTTGACAACCAGGACGCTCCCAAATTCCATCAGTCCACTCCGACAGGTTTTGACCGTTTTGACCTGTTTGAATTTTGTAGGTTTCGACCGCTTCTGCAATGTTTGGGACCCTCAGGATGAGCCCTGACAGAAGTGATGTGAAGTGACACAAAAAACAGAAGTCTTCATTCGTTTTTGTCATCGAAGAAATGGCATGCGTTGTTCTCTGTGTTAATTTCTGATTCTTCTTCGATCCACCTAGCAGGTGGTTGTCATATTGCTATCATACCTGAAGTGCATACCAAGAAAGTGGAACTGTGAAACCTACCAAGGACTCTGAGAGGTGAGCTTCGCGTTCTCTGCTGACACAGTGATGTGGGAGGAAGAGATCACGTATGGAAGAACTTGAAACAAGAAGAAGAAGAGAAAAATATAATAAGATAAAAAGATAAAGAGTTGGCTCTGCATATGCTGCTCTCGACAAGACGGTGCAAGAAGCTAGCCAAATTTGCCTGGTCAATAATATAAAATCAACGTCATGCAAGTCCCGGGGACGCCTGTAATACCTGCCTCGTGCCGTGTGCTTCTGAACCTGAGCAAGAGGGACCGGTCCACCGGCAGGCAGCTGCAACTCTTGCGCCCTTGAGTCACAGAAGCCATTGCGCACTCTTGCACTGCCGAGCCGAACATCGGGGAGATGCTCTGTAAAGAGCTCTCCTTAGTGTTTGGTCGGGGGTCAAGAGGGGGCAATTGGCCAGTGACCCATGGGTGCTTGAGGGGCGGCTGTCTGTGGGTGGGCCGGAGACCTCTGCTCAGGGTCAGCGGCGCAGGGCCGGGCAGGTTGCACAGGCGGCGCCGGGCTTGGGTGAAGTTGGTTGCCGGTCGGCGTTGGGCCGAGCGGCTTGCGGCTTAAGCTGCGAGTCGCTCGGCCCGACGCCACCCCCGGCCCTGGGCTGCCCCGACCGGGTGATGGGCTGGTGGTATTGTATCGACTACTCTTGTTGAGGGTGGCGCAGAGCTGGCTCACAGGGGCAGCCCAGGGCCGGGGGACGGCAATATTTTTTTTGATAAATGGGATATTTGCGGGGGGGAGATATCAAATAAAAGGAAGAACAAACACAGGTGAAAGGAATCTCTTCCACCCAGCTGCGCGCGTGACTGCAAGGCCACCCTTTGCAAGGGCTTGCAAATGGTATCTGAAGAGATTCAACACAGTTTCAGCAGAATCAAATGTGTCAGTCCATGACGATAGCAGACTTATGAGTTACTTATCAGCACGTTCTGTGTCAGAGCATTTTTCAAGGTCATGTTTTGTCATTGCGACTTATCGTGTTCTTTTGTTGTTTTTTTGTCATTTGTCATTCCTTTGTCATTTGGGGTTGTCGTTTTCTTGTCATTTTTTTTGTCAATTGGTTGTTCACTCTTTTTTTGGAACCCGGCATTTAAGGCAGAGCCAGAAGATGTCGAAAATCACAGGTTTCCTCGAGTTTTGTCTAATTTTTGGGTCATTTTCTTGTATTTTTTCTGCAATTTCTCGTTTTATTGGAACCGTGCGTTTGCGGCAGAGCCTGAAGATGTCGAAAACTTGTAGTTTTCCTCGAGTTTTTGTCATTTTTTGGTCATCTTTTTGTCATTTTAGTGTCAGTTCTCCTTTCTTTTTAGCCCGGCATTTGTGGCAGAGCCTGAAGTCGTCGAAAATCGCAGTTTTCCTGGAGTTTTTGTCACTTTTTGGCAATTCTTTGGTAATTTTGTTGTCATTTTTCCGTCATTTCTCGTTTTCTTGGAACCCGGCATATGCGGCACAGCCTGAAGATGGGGAAAATCGCACTTGTTCTTGAATTGTTTTGTACATTTTCTGTCATTTTAAGTTTTCTTGAAGCCCCGCATTTGCGGCACGCCAAAATGATCAAACAAATGACAAACAAATTACACATGACAAACCCAAACGACAACAAAATGACAATAAAAACGACAGAACAATGACAAAATATAGTAAAGGATTTCCAGGTTCTGCTGTCCTAGGTAACTTGGCTCCATATCAGTCCTACTAACTTGAACCATGACAACTTTAGAATAGGAAGGGTGTCGCGGTAGTAAACCGCATCTACAGTGACATCAACTGCACCAATGTTATGTTTTCGCGAGATGTGAAGCGCAGCGAAGCAAAAAAGAGCTGCACATGTTAGTATATTACTGTATGATTCATGTGTTCTGTGTATGTATGTATGTATGTATGTATGTATGTATGTATGTATGTGTGTATGTGTGTATGTGTGTATGTGTGTATGTGTGTATGTGTGTATGTGTGTATGTGTGTATGTGTGTATGTGTGTATGTGTGTATGTGTGTGATGTATGTATGTGTGTATGTGTATGTATGTATGTGTATGTAACATGGGGTTCCCCAAAATACTATCATCATCATCATCATCATCGTCATAGTCATCGTCATCGTCATCATCAGCAGCAGCAGATCTTCTTTTTTCAAACATGGAACATGATGATCAACAACTGGATTTTTTGGGACTCCATTTTCAAACAAACTGTACCTGTATGGCCGTATGTGTGTGGTGTGTGTATATATGCATATTGTAGATATCATAGATATCAAGACATGCAGGCA